TTGGAAAAAATCCGAACTTTTTTCAGAGCAAAGATAGCTCATTTCTGTCTGCACCATTGATCTTTCTGGGTCGAAAAACTGTCTAATTGGGCCACGAAATCAAAATGAAAGTGATATCCCGACAGATGAAAAATATAGAGGAGTGAGTTCAGCGAATTGAATAGGAGGTCTCTGGAAAAAACCCGAACTTTTTTCAGAGCAAAGATAGCTCATTTCTGTTTGCACCATTGATTTTTTTGAGTCGAAAAACTGCCCAGTCTGGCCACAGAATCGGAACGCAAGTGATATCTTGACAGATGAAAAATATAGAGGACTGAGTTCAGCGAATTGAATAGGAGGTCTTTGGAAAAAATCCGAACTTTTTTCAGAGCAAAGATAGCTCATTTCTGTTTGCTCCATTGATTTTTTTGGGTCGAAAAACTGCCTAATTAGGCCACGAAATTGAAATGAAAGTGATATCTCGACATATGAAAAATATAGAGGAGTGAGTTCAGCGAATTGAATAGGAGGTCTTTGGAAAAAATCCGAACTTTTTTCAGAGCAAAGATAGCTCATTTCTGTTTGCACCTTTGATTTTTTCGGGTCGAAAAACTGCCTAATTAGGCCACGAAATTGAAATGAAAGTGATATCTCGACATATGAAAAATATAGAGGAGTGAGTTCAGCGAATTGAATAGGAGATCTTTGGAAAAAATCCGAACTTTTTTCAGAGCAAAGATAGCTCATTTCTGTTTGCACCATTGTTTTTTTCGGGTCGAAAAACTGCCAAATTAGGCCACGAAATTGAAATGAAAGTGATATCTCGACATGTGAAAAATATAGAGGAGTGAGTTCAGCGAATTGAATAGGAGGTCTTTGGAAAAAAATCCGAACTTTTTTCAGAGCAAAGATAGCTCATTTCTGTCTGCACCATCGATCTTATTGGGTCGAAAAATTGCCTAATAAGGCCACGAAATCGAAATGAAAGTGATATCTCGACAGATGAAAAATATAGAGGAGTGAGTTCAGCGAATTGAATAGGAGGTCTTTGGAAAAAATCCGAACTTTTTTCAGAGCAAAGATAGCTCATTTCTGTCTGCACCATTGATCTTATTGGGTCGAAAAATTGCCTAATAAGGCCACGAAATCGAAATGAAAGTGATATCTCGACAGATGAAAAATATAGAGGAGTGAGTTCAGCGAATTGAATAGGAGGTCTTTGGAAAAAATCCGAACTTTTTTCAGAGCAAAGATAGCTCATTTCTGTCTGCACCATTGATCTTTTTGGGTCGAAAAACTGCCTAAGTAGGCCACAGAATCGGAATGAAAGTGATATCTCGACAGATGAAAAATATAGAGTTGTGAGTTCTGCAAATTGAATAGTAGGTCCTTGGAAAAAATCCGAACTTTTTTCAGAGCAAAGATAGCTCATTTCTGTCTGCACCATTGATCTTTTTGGGTCGAAAAACTGCCTAATAAGGCCACAAAATCAAAATGAAAGTGATATCTCGACAGCTGAAAAATATAGAGTTGTGAGTTCTGCAAATTGAATAGTAGGTCCTTGGAAAAAATCCGAACTTTTTTCAGAGCAAAGATAGCTCATTTCTGTTTGCACCATTGATTTTTTTGGGTCGGAAAACTGCCTAATTAGGCCACAGAATCGGAATGAAAGTGATATCTCGACAGATGATAAATATAGAGGAGTGAGTTCAGCGAATGAAATATTCGAAAAAAATGAATCTTCATTCTCATTCCATGTATATGGATATGGATCACGCATTTATCTTCACCCCATTTATTGAAGAAATTGTTTGGCACAAAATATTTGCAATAAAATGGTATTTATTTTTTTTATGGAAATGGAGCTAATTATCAAAACAATTCAGGATACCAAAATAATGTATTTCCAGTTGGTCAAAAGGTTATGATGATAAAGAATTCAAAAAAGCCAGTGGCGCACATTTTATTGACAAAAATATCCGTTAGTTTGCCCTCTGGGACCCAATGGATTTCATAATTCCAATCCAATCATTGCTATATCAGCTCCTCATGACCAAAAATATCATTGCCAAATTCCATGAAAATCGGTGAAAGAACATTCAAGATATTCATAAAAACCGATTTTTTTTCAAGTTTAACATACTGTATGTTGAAAACTATGCATTTCTGGACCCACGTACATAAATAATCAGTTTCCTATCTTATCATGTAGAATCACCCTCTTGATTGCATGCTCATGATTTCCGGAGACCCTGTATAGCACCCAGTAGTCGTGAAATCAATGTTTGTCAATGAATAACCTCGAAATAATGTTCTTATGTTGCTTGATTTCCATTTAAAAAAAATTAACAAAACATTGTTCATCTCACACTGCAACTTCTTTACTAGAATGCTAAAACTTTTAATGAATATTTCAATTATTGTGGTTATAAAGCCATCAAATGAATTATTGTTATCGAAATTGGAGACCACCAGTATCGAAAAGAGATATAAAGCCGGTTTTCCTAAGCACCAATAAATATCAACTTATTGTAATCTACTTAGTTTACCCTGTTATAAATGATGGGCGCAAGGATATCGTTATATTCCGTATATTCAACGATTAAACTCAAGCCCTTAGGGAAATGATGGAATCCCCAACAAAAGTTTGGAGATGCGGAGACTTTTATAAAACGACCAAAGTTATCGGAATATTAGTTTTTCTATAAAAACAGTGATCAGTTGATGAATCGAGAAGAGTTTTTTCGTCTCCAATCTAAAAGCAGTAAAAGTATAGATATTATGAAATCGATTCCTTGATATCGTTATAGAGATATAGGCCAATCACTTCAGCAAAAATGGAGAAACAATAGCAAAACATTTCAAACTTCCACCGAAGTTGTATTTTGGTGTTAAATAAAAATTTGCCCCGTCGTACAACGCTGGCAACATTGTTAAAAATGTAAATAGAAACAATTTTGGTTATTTTGCAGAGAAACAATGCAAAAGAGTCGCAAAATGGTCAAAACAAAGAAAATATAATCCACGATCGTTTGTGGCATCACAATGAAAAAATTATTGATTCATACTTTTGTCAATAACTCATTGGAAAATAATCTGAAAGAGTGGAAAACCAGAAGAGATGTTCCTATCTATGTCACGAATTTCTCTGAAAATTTGCCACCGCAACATATTCTTCATTTTACTTTACAATAACAAATTCTGTTCGCAACTTGAGTTGGTTATGGTAATAATGCAAAAGTTTCTCGAGTTGGCCGCAAATTTACGGAGTAGTTTTCTAGAAAACATATGAACTCTGCCACCCCCGAAGAATTCGGGAACTAAGTCAAATGTAGAAAAAAAGAAGAAAAAAATGTTCATTCTTAGAAATGATACAAAACTTTTGCGAATTTACCTGTTAGTAGTAGTTAATTCGAGGTCACAATAGGTAATTAATTGGTTGCATAATTTTGAGCGTGGAAAAAACGCAAGACTACACAGACTGTCTGCGTCGACGAAATTGTTTTGTCTACGACCTTATAAAAGTAGGGATTTGTTAGGTCAGTCGAAAGTCGTCGAAGGACCGAAGGTGAGGAATATTTAGATATAGGTAATACTTTTCCCATCGTTTCGTGAGGAAGCAAATTGAAATATTCATCATACCTACATTCAATTTTGAGTTGTTCAACTGAAAAAACTTTTGCATTATTTCTATGACCCATTCAAATTGCAATAGTATATTACACACCGAGGTGGAAGTGATTCATTCCTGTCGTGAGATAAGTATGAATAAATAATTTATTCATTAAGATGCCTAACTTGGAAATGGTCGCAAAATTAGGGAACGATTAAGGATTATATTTATTTTGTTTTAACCATTTTGCGACTATTTTGCATTTTTTCTCTGCAAAATATAACCACAATTGTTTATAAGTTACATTTTTAACAATGTTGCCTAGTCCAAGGGAACAAATTTGTATAGTTCAATTCAACACTGAAATATAACTTCTGTGAAAATTTAAAACGATTTGCTATTTCTTCCCCAATTTTGAGTTTTAAACGCTGAAATGATTGACCTAATAACTCAGTCCGGTAGACCTGATATATTAAACACTTCTATGTCTATTTTTATTTCCCAAAGGGCTAATTCCTTAGCAAATTGGAAGGACAATGAATGAAAGCCTGTTCAGGAGTTATCGTCAACAATCCGAATCATTTTATTTATACTTTCTTGTTCACCAACTATCCGAATATATAAGACAATATCCCTGATTTCTTGCATTCTTTCTTCACATTCCACAGTACTATCGGAATAAACAAAGCAACAAATAAAACCGCAGTCTTGAGTACAGCTACACCAAATAATAATGCACCAACAGCTTTCCAAACAATATAGAGTTTTGTAATAATGGTGATCGGTACTATCCAAGTGATCTGATCATTCGGCCATTTTGGACTATCATGATGCTTCCTTCCATAATCTAAAAAAGAATCACCAAAATATCACGTATTAATCCGCGCTTCAACAGTCCAGTCTCACAATTCAATGAAGAGTAAGTTTAATTGTTTCACATGGCATTCATTGACATCATCGTCAAGTACATCAGGATAAACATAAGAAATGCAATTTTTATTATATAAAATTTCGCGAGTAGCATGATGGGAATGATAAGTTGATTTCTAGTCGCGTTATTCATCGATGTCTTCGATTTCAATGCTGCCATCATCATCATCGCAGGACCTGGAGCATCTGTTGTAAAAGTTACTATTTGTTCCTGCATAGGTGTCTTCGTGGAATTTATTGTTTGAGACATTATCCTTGGTTGAATTAACTGGTACATTTTCCTCCTCTGCTTATTCATGTTCCAACTACCTGAAAAAAACTCAATATTATCATTCATTCGACTACTGATGCGTAAAAATTATGAGTGAGTTGATATTTTGTTGAAGTTAAAAAAACGATCAGAATCTTGAAAACTAATTTTATTCCAATAAAAATAACATACTGATACTACTGGAATACTGATATATCATTATCGTTGCTATCTCCACCAGCTATGTACGGGAGGAGTTTCTACAGGGTGATAAACATGTTCTTCCTTGTGGCAGGCGCCTTTGATATTTCTGACGATGACAGGAAGTATAAGAGCACCCAGTATCAGCACTTTCTTGACGGCAAACAAGGCTGAGAAGACCATGCCGAGTAGTATCATAACTTTCAAGATTTTTGCAAGGATCAGAATGGGAATCAGGTACATCTGATGTTTCTTCTTGTGTCCTCTTGGTACTGTGTGATTACCTTGAAAAAAATTAGGATTAGGATCTGAATAGTTTCATTTTGAGGTATAGGTGAATAGAATAACAAATCTTTAACTTAACTGAATGGTTCACCTCACTGGCTTGGCACTATACAGGTACTCAAATTTTGATTTTTTTATTGAAGATGCTTCAATGAATTGAGGAATGTAAGTTAAAAAATTGTTATTTCACGAGTTTTCACAGTTCATCCAGAGGAAGCTCATAATAACTCATAGAATGATTTTATTCAAATATTATTAAATATTCCATAATACACAATAACAAAATGGAAGGTTTGAACGAAGTTTCAGGTGCAGATGAAATTTCAGTGATCAACATTCATCTGGAAAAAAAAACGATCGTGTTGCATACTGGATTTCAACAATTCATTTTGAAAAATTATTCAAATTTCGATATTTCTTACCCAATCCAACTCATCCATCCTTGTGAAGGTTTCTCACAAGACGAAATTATGCTGTTATATACTGAGGGATAGATTATTGCAGAGAACAGCATGATCTTCAAAATATGCAAAATAACAAAGAATGTCATGGACAACATAATTTTTATTTTCAGGAGTTTGAATAGGATGATTTTGGATATCTTCTTCAGATTGATTTTATCTTTTATCGTCAATTTGTGGCGAAAATCTAAAAAAAAAACATGATTCATCAACTGACATGAATTCTTGATGGAATATAATAATAACAATTTTTTAACTTAACTTGATCCAACATTCATCACCATCATCTCTGAATCATCCAAGCACTTCCGAACAGTTTGACACAGCAAAATTTTATTGTTTTCTATTGAATCCCAAACATCATCGAATAGATGTAAACCTAATCGTTATCAGGTATATAGAAAGAATCGGCGTAAGTTAAAAAGTTGTTATTGACAGTTCAGGAAGAAATAGTAAGTATAACAATATAGGACAGAGATCTTGTTATAAGTGATATATGTACAGTGTGGTCATTTAAGTGTGCAACATATTGGAATCTTTTTAATGAATTGCACAACCAAAATACAGAAAGTGCCAAAAGTTGGTGCATGTTCGGTAATCATTTTAGGTGCACTTAGAATGATTGCAAGTAACACAGCATACAGGGTAGGTCAAAAAATATTGAAATTGCTCAAGAGTAAAGTACCCTTATTTCAGATAATTCGGCAGATTGTTATTGAGAAAAGTTGTTTACAATTGAAAATTATGCCTAAATACCAAAATATGGCTTCCTAAGACATGTTTGAGTTTTTCAGTTATGTTCGTGAATAATTTCCCAATTTGTAATTTTTTTTATATTCACCCTGAATACATTCATAAGTTGATCATAACAGAATCAGTTGACCATAAATTGGTTCAGATTCAAGCATATTTGTGCAATTTACTTGGATTTTAATTTTTATAGGGAATCACAACCTTTATGTTTGTTGCAACGATATTCAGCTTAACTTTAAAACTTCGCAAACCGTATTTTTAACAAGGTAAAACATCAATATTGATAATATGCATATTGAAAAACTTTCATTCAATGTGCACATTTTGTGTTTAAAATATATAAATTATTAACGAACAGAATTGAAAAGCTGAAAAATTTCTTAGGGGGCCATGTTTTGGTATCTAGGCATAACTTTCAATTGTAAACAACTTTTTTCAATAACATTTTACTGAATTTTCTGAAATAAGGGTACTTTACTCCTGAGCAATTTTTATATTTTTTGACCTACCCTGTATGCTGTGTGACTTGCAACCATTCTAAGTGCACCTAAAATGATTACCGAATATGCACCAACTTTCGGCACTATCTGTATTTTCGTAGTGCAATTCAATAAAAAGATTCCCATATGTTGCACACTTAAATAACCACACTGTATATAAGTTAAATGGGATTAGTCACAAAACTCGTGATCTCGCTCGTGATATCGTGCGGAATATGAATGAAAAAATATTGAAACACTATGTAGAAATCAATGTAATAAGCTTTGAAAAAAACTATCTGATATTCTGATATGAGATTCTTCCAACACAGAATGCTCGAACACTTACCTCTCTCTTCATCTGCTATTGGATTCGTCCCTAGACTTTTGCCAAACCTGGATGGTAATATGAAAGCCAGCCCATGTGTATCCATAAATTCGAAGAATTTCCTCATCAGGAATTTCAGAAACTTGTTGATTTCACTGTCTCCCGGATTATATCTTGCTGTTGATGAGGCACTAGTATTATTCCCGCTTCTGGGAATGTTGACTAAGTTCACACTGCTATTGTTCCATACGTAATCGAATTCTTTGATGAACTTCAGGAACTGGAATTTGCTGCAATAGTACTTGTCCTTGGTATTCACGCATTCTTGGAAGCTTTCATTCAGGTAATCGTCTGCCATCATGATATCCATGAGAAAAAGGAACACTATCACCACCGGTGTTTTGAGATCTAGCAAATTCATATTGGTTTCAGTGCGGTCACTAATGAAAACTTGAAATGATTGGGATCATACTGGAATCTACTTATATATTAGCCAAATATGTATCAGTAGGTTGCTGAAACTGAAGTTTTTAATGAGCAAAAATATACTGGTGCCAAACTGACTCCCCGAAGTGGACTAAATTGTAAATTGGATTATTAGTAATGTGGAATTGCCTCGACTAATAGGTGCGAAGCATTTCTATGTAAGTAGTAAGTAAGTATTATTGATGAGCATGAATTTAAAGTTTGAGCTAGCGATTCAATGAGTACATCAATATACATAGTGGGTTTCTTATATTTTGCCCGTATTTAACATTTGCGCAAAGTTTTCGAGCCATATTATCCTAATATATTTATTTTTCAGAAAATAACTTTTGTTCTTCAATCAAAACGAATGAATATAGGACACTATCTATAATTCCATGTTTTGATAAAAATGAATAACTAATCCACCACGCATATCTCAACTCGATGAAGTTTATGGATTTCCAGTTTGAATTATGAAAAAACAGTAGATTTACGTATAGGGCTATAGATGAATAAATACCTTCCTTTGTGAAAAAGTCAAGCAGTTGTTTACTTGTCTCATTCTAGAGACCATTTAATTTATGGATACAAAATCCTATGAGCCACTGTGATTTTTTCATTATGATAACGAAAAAACTTCTCCCAAAGTTTTCCAGCGATTGATACAATTTAACATGTATTTATCGATAAGAAAATCATCTCTTATGTATTTACCCACCCTGAAATTTTGGACTGAAATTAAACAAAATCGCTCTCGGCTTCGCATTTTTTTTATGTCAGTTTTTATCGTAAAAAAACTTATGATCGGCAAATGTTTTTCGTTAGCAAAAGGAATATTTTCGATAAAAAAAAGCTCTTTACTGTTGAAAACACGGAACATATACACAGTAAAAAACCGCTTCGAGTGAATTCCGAACAGTATGTTTTTAGAGTTAAAATACTCTGACAAACTCACTCTAATACTGCAATCAACTCTATTACTACATTTCTCGCAGATTATCTCCTTTGAAACTAATTCTAGATTGAATTTTCACTATTCTCGTATTGAATTCACTCTATATTCCTGGAATTTCAATAAAATATCAATTCAGATAACTCAATTCACAAACAATTGAAATTTTTACTGACACTAGTGAACTTGAATACTCCTCTCTTGTCGATTAAATTGACACTCTATCATTGTTCAATTCAATCTATATACGATGAAATATCAATCTATACAGTTTCAGATCGTTCAGTCTACTAGATGGTGAAATAAGTAATACAGATTATAGTGTCGATGATATAATGATCATGATATTAGCTTCAAGTAGCTTTTTTACTATACCCGCGTAGTGAGAAATTTGTTTCAACATTGAGTTATGAACGTTTTTCCATATACCTAACTCAGTTATTTTCCGTTTTTTCCGTTTTGAATTATTATTTCGAACGATTTATGAAAAGATATAGGTTAATTAATTAGTCTCGTAGGACTCGAGTCATTTTCCAAATATCAAACGATTAAAATATTATAAAGTCCCACTACTTCTCATCCGTCAATTCTCGCCACTGCATAAAGGTGGCGCTGCGGAGACTCCGCTGCTGAACGTCTGTCGGGGGCCTATAAATACTGTGACATGTGAAAGAATGGTTAATTCAACTTGGATGAAATCTCAACAGGAAGTAGTGACTAGTTTACTCAACTAGTGTTCTAGAGAGAGAGAGAGAACATCTTTATTAGGGATATACCCCAAAAGGCCATAGTGTTCTATATTAATCTAAAATGATGAATAAATGATAACTCCTTATTAGCACCTGAACAAATAGTAGTGTCAATTTGAACAATGCAGGAGCAATTTGACATCTACATACATAGAGTAAATAATTCAATCAATTTCCGGTGGATTCGACACTGTTTATAGTGTGGAATCTACTCTCTACTATCACATTACCACTCTAAACTTTTGTGACTATGTAATATTCGGTTGTTGAATTTCACTCTAAAGTGATGATATCGACACTAGCTTTGGTATTGAGTGGAATATTCACTCTCGAAATTGTTTCCTTCAACTCTATTTTTGTGTTTATTCAATATATTTAGAGAAATAAATAGAGTAAGTTTCAATGTGCTTGCATTGAAAATTTACACTAATTGAATTGCAAAAATCACACTATAATATACTAAACTATAGAGTTAGTTGAATCATTCACTCTAAAGCTTAGTGGTCCTCCTGGGAACAGGTATAGTGTTAAATTTCACAGTATTTTTTTTACTGTGTACCATGCTACCACAATTATGAATGAATCTTGATGGCGTTTATGTCCATGTTTCTCAATCTTGCGTTATCAGGAAAGTATCTAATCGGTGGAACTGTTTCGTGCGGAAAATTTACTTTACCGCACTATAGTGCTGAAAAGTTACTTTTCCACACTATTTTTGTATTGTTGAAAATGAGGATATGTCGGACTAACTTAATGATCTATGTAACTATATACTGTCTTATGTGTAATTTTGTAGCATTAATATAAAATCTTGTTTTTCAAAACCCTTTTTTTATTAATAATATGGACGAAAACACTCGTAGGAAACACATTGTACCTAATTTTTGTGGAATTGAACTATTCAGGATGTTGAATGACAAAATGTCTCAAAATTTCAGAATGATTAACTCATCATAAAGAGGTTATTATGGTGTTCTCAATAGCTGCCTTTGGAGCATATTCACCACATCAAAATTTTGGAGTCAAATCGATTATTCATTGTTTCTTTCTTGAAAACCAGTGGCATATACATTCATCATAAATATCGATAAAGTTACTGCAAATGCGAATCTAAATACATCAAAGAAGTTACATTTTTTTGAAAAGGAATATTCTCAGATAAATTATGAACATACAAAAATGGATATATATTCATATAAAGCAATACATTGAGAATTCGCATTCTCTATGTGATGAGAATATTTACTCTTTCTCAGTTGATTCAATGGAAAACAACTACTTTCCATTTTTAAATTAACGAAAAGACTCTCCAGGAATTGATGAAGAACGATTCCTTTTTTAATCGATACCCTTCAACTTGAAAACAGAGCTAGTTTGGGCAAAAGCTGAAATAGAATTCATTTCATGATAATATATGACAACTTTATTTAAGGCACAGGGTCATTCCGTATATTTGAACAGCTTCCACAGGATTCATTATTATTGAAGATAGAAAAAAACTGTAAGGTTTGCTCTGAATCACGAGGAAATTGAGGTGATAAAACAGCAATCTTCTCCCAAACACCTATGCACATAAATAAATGATCGAACATTAGGAATGTGTCTTGCAGGACATCTTCCTCGATAGATACGTTGAGCTTCGTAAGAATTTGATCTAACCACATGCACCGTAACACATAATCATCATGTTCCTGTATTCTTCAAGAGTGTAGTATGAATTATTACATTAGTTTGACAAGTGTCATTATGACACATAATTTAATTGTTATTTATCATACTTTTGCAAATGTGCAATGTGATGCATTTGTACTCGTGTTCATGGGAACCTTTTTTTCTTATTTCATTGTCGTCTATTGGGTTGCACTATGCAAATTACTTCTTTCTAAGTCACCCTGTAGAGCCCCTGTAAATCTGTTGGGTAGGTATAGACCTCTAGGAACCGTTGAATGAACTTACATCAATAAACTGGAAAATAAAACTTGATACAGGAATCTGTAACATCATAGTCGACTGAGATTCTGGTAGATGTCGTTACGTAATCCAGTTCTACCAACCATGAAATAATTTAGCTGGTTCACAGCTGATAATTTGACATTAGATAATTTGACGTCATCAAAATGGCAGACGAAGTTTGTTGATTGTTGATGTGAACGATTGGACAGCAACTGGAATATTTTTTTCGTTTTATTGTTGAATTAGCGTTCGAATCCATTCAAAATAGGTGTGATAAGGATGAGTAACCATCATAATGGTGCTAGAACTTCAGAAACTGAACAGATGGCTCAGCCACAGTGTTTGAAAGTGTTCGTGCAACGAGATTACAGTGAGGGAACTCTAGTGAGGTTTCAAACTAGGTTTCCACAAGAGTTAGAAGGAAGGGTATGTCTGAAAATAGAACTGTCTCATTGTTTGATATAATTTCTCTTATTCCAGTTGGAAAGACAGGCATTCGAGGCGACAGTAAACAGACTCAATGCCTTTTTTGCTGAAGCTGAAAAAGCTACTTGCTCTACATACTGTGAGGGCTGTTTAGCTTGTCTGACTGCCTATCTCATATATATTTGTAAGGAAACACACTATGAAAAGGTCAGTGAACATTCCTCAAACCACACATAATGTGGACACATTGGTACTTGACATATACCTACCTACTGTGTGTTTGGGAACAATTATTCATTTCTTGATTATGATTTTTTAGTGTCTGAAAAAGATTTCCAAATTCATAGCAGAACAGAACGAGAGAGTGTATGAACCACGTGGACTGAAATTGACGGATCCTAGTACCAGGGGATTGAGAGTTCTAGAAATCAGCTGTCTTGATAGGCCTCCCAATGCATGACTTACCCTTTCACACTCCACCCAGGAGTTTTTCATGTGACAAGAATTTCTGCCAGTCTTGTGATCCTGATATACAAGGTAGATACAGGGTGGTTTCGTTTGTGTATGCTCACCACCAAAATTTAAAATCGAGTTTTGGATTTTTGTTGTTGAATCTTGCATGTATAATTAGAAGGTGAACTGAGAAAAGTAAATTGAACATGACTGAAAACTCATGAACTTTCTCTTTTGATGTGGATGACCATATTCCAAGACTGGCAGCTCAATTTTTTTGTAATCTAGCATATATTTTTTAACTACTAGATAAATATTGGAATTTTGATATGCTATTGGGAAAAAATACCAAGCGATAATTGTGGATATGTTCCTCAACACATATATTGTTAGAAGTGCTGAAATATTTCATTCATAAATTATTATTATTACCTATTATCATTCTATGTGAAGGAAATACTCAGGAGATGGGGAAATATCATGATGATCTATTTTATTCGTCCTACTAAGTATTTTCAAACTGTACAGATGATTGTGATCTTTTTTATATTTTAGTTTCATCATAAGGGTCTTCCAAATATTCATTCTTCAAATTTTATTACATTGAGTTATTACTTTTGTTTATGAAAATAGTTTTTCAATCCGAGTAGGTACCTCTATAGTTATTTTTATTACTGTAATCTAATTTATAATTAAATGATGTACCTTTGTTTTATATATAGTCACGTGTCGTTGATGTTTTTCCTACCCCAGGTATAATCAGAAAGCAAAGTCAGTTTCGAATTCAAATTACACTATTTATTTATTAAATAATATTGACTATTTACATTTTACAAATTCTAAAATTACAAAATGTCTTTCTCAGATATTTACTAAATCACCAAAATTTCAGTTTTAGTAAAAAATAATATACTTTAGAGAGCTCAAAATATTGAGAATAGAGAACGTTACTATTAGCACTCAGATATTGATCTAGGTACATAGGTAAATGACAATTCATCATCAGAACTTCAAGGACTCATTCATTTTATATTCACTCAAGATCGAGCTCAGGATATGCAGTCACACCACATTATTTTAATGCCTGAAGAGGGACGTATTTTTCTCGGAAAAAATAATTTGAGGTTATAGGTCGCCTACAAGTAACTATTTTCGAGGAGGGAGCCTTTAAATTGTATTGCGCTTTGGTTCTTGAACCGCCAACTAGATATTCTAATGATTAGTTCATGAGATCTGTCACAAAATGCAACAGAACTTGTGTTTCTGCCTCTTCTTCAGTTCCAGAGGAGGCGCTACAGTCACCGTGTGCAATGTTTGGACCGTCAGCTCAATATCTTTGGTTTCTTCAGGATCTGTGAAATCAAGGAAAACTTTTAAACAAACTAGTAAATAATTATAAATGTGTGCTATGCCTTGTAAACCACTGAATAAGAAAATTGAGGCTTTCAGACTTGAAAAGAGTGTATCGAACTGATGACTTGTACTATTTAGCATATTATTGTAGCAGCACTATAAACTGAACAGAAGATTTTCAATGAATTTCATAAATTTATCGAGATACGTGATTTGTATTATCTCGTTTTGCTGCCTTTTATCATAATATGATGGTTGAAAAATTATGTTCGGAACATCGCTTGAAACTACATCTTATTTCCAATTTACATAGATTATGCGTTAAAAGTAAATGAATAATCAAAATCTCATATGCTGTAGGACAAAAATTCCAGAGAAAAATATCTATGCAAGAAAAAACGATCTCAACACGTTGTTTTTGTTTGATAACACAATTTTCAATCACTTGGTGTGTAATAACCGAAATATTTTTCCCGTATAAAACAATGAATCTTGATAAGAAATAAATCAGCATCATAATGCTTCAGTCAAATTCAAAATCGGTTGGTTTGTCAAAAAGTTATGGCAACTTGGGAATAATCAAAAAATCAAGCGACTGGTTCTACTAGAATAATACTGGTTTCACCTTCCCATTTACCTGTGATAGCTTCTACCGGCTTATCAATAGTATCGTGGTCTATCCAGGTAAGTCCCATTTCGACTTTTTCCGCCAAATCTTGCCAGTGTTGTCGGTTTTCCATGGTACCTTCGTAGAGAGGCTGCATCCACGGAAACGTCTCCGACATCACCCTGTATAAAGGCAAGCAAATGACGTCGATGAAGCTCACTTGCATCTGCGGCAGCTCGTCTTTTCGTTCTCTGTCCATTTGGGCCTGAAAGAATCTCCATGAAATATAATATATTGGGCAAACACGATAGAATTTAGTTCTCCGAGATAGGGAACATATGGCGAGGAATATGTTGAACCTGCTGAATGAAATTTCGTAGTTCCAGAATATTCCTGATGAAATGTTCGTACTCACTATAGGTTGTTCTTTCAACTGCATTTTTTCCAAATCGCCCTGATCGAAAAATTCATCTGCTACTAGTTTTGCTACCCTGTGCTGGACATCCCATGGCTTCGCTATAGCGCTGACGTCACAAGCTGTCATCATCATACCAGATAGTACTGAAAAATAAGAGATCACTCGATTATGCAGAAGTCATATAGGTACCTAAGCTAGGTATGACTGGATTTATGGAGCACAATAACTAAAATGATACTTAAAAAGATAGTAGTTATTTTGTCTCAAAATATCACTGTGTATCAACACAGTTATATTCAGAAATAGGTGAAATGGACATTGATATCAAGAATGTTCAATATTCATTCTTCAATATACAGGGTGTTTCAGTTTTTTGTAGCAGGACTTTAACAGCTTGAAGAAGATATTTTTTCAAGATGAAAATCTCATGCAAACATATATGCGTGAAAGCTTCGTTTCCGATTTACAGGGTGTCAGTTTCAGATTTTTTTATGTTTTTTTAATTTTCTCCTACAATTTTCGGAATAATTGATTGAAATTTGGTACACCTAATACACTTCAAAAACTTGATATTTGAGGCTATTGAGTGTTTTTGAATACCTACAGGGTGATAGACTTTCAAGGGTCGTACCCAATTTAACCCTGTAGAACTTTTTTGCGTGCCGACTCTGCTTTCAATGGGCCATAGATTCAGATTATCCTTTCAATTTGGAAACTTTTTGCTCTCATGTAAATTTTCCGAAAACTGTATGGATCTCAAGATAAATGCCATAAAGAAATTACTTGTAATAAAACCGTTATTTCTCAAACACACTTATTCGACATTTCTCGAACATTTTATTGGAAAATAGAATGACCGAAAGCTTCCATACCAAATGAAATACAGTTGCAAAATCAGGTTGAATTTTTTGAACACCATTATAATTGAAACTAGGAAAAACAGAGACAAAATGTTTTTATTTTAAAAAAACTAACTGGATTGCAGAATCTGAAATTGTATTGTAGAAATTTCTAGGACACCCTGTATAACTGAAACTGGTTAAACTTTCGATAGGGACTGTATGATACACGGTCTAGGCTTCTGATGGTTGGGGTTTTGTGAGTTTTAATAATTTGATCTCGTGAACGGCAATTCTAATTTTATCAGTACCCGTAGAAGTGGTTCGGACTCCACTTTTATTTATCTCGAAATCCATATTTTTCGAAATACATACATGGGGCAAAAAGTTTCCAAATTGCAGAGACAATCTGAATCTATGTCCCATAGAAAGCAAAGGCGGCACGCAAAAAAGTTCTACAGGGTTAAATTGGGTACGACCCCTGAAAGTCTATCACCATGTAGGTATTCAAAAACGCTCAATAGCCTCAAATATTGAGTTCTTGAAGTGTATTAGGGGTACCAAATTTCAATCAATTATTCCGAAAATTGTAGGAGAAAATTCAAAAAACATGAAAAAAATCTTAAAGTTTGACACCCCGTAAATCGGAAACGAAGCTCCCACACATATATGTTTGTATGAGATTTTCATCTTAAAAAATGACTTCTTCAAGCTGTTAAAGTCCTGCTGCAAAAAACTGAAACACCCTGTATATTTTTGATAATTGTATCAGATTCACACTTACGGTCTTTTTTATCATCGCTCTGCCAATCAAATTCCCCATTGTCTATCAGTTCGAGGAACCTATTTTTCTTTTTGAAGTACATCGCTAAATCTGTAGATAAAATCGCTGTTTCGACTAAACGCATCACCCTCCTATAGTCATCAGGAGATAATGCCTGAAATCATTATGAAAAACAATTAATAAGTATGTGGAAGAACCCAACAACAACAAACTAAACAGTCTAAGAAACACATTTTTTTGAGTTAAAGTACCAACCCAGCGAGCACAATCATCCCTGGGATGTTTTGAAAATGTTGGCATGAAGATGTTATTTTGAGACGTAATATGCACTGACCAAAGAGGTCTTTGAAGGATATTGAAGTATTGTTTTTGTTCTTCTGTGGCATTCCTTTGATTGCCTATTGGGATGTTTTGGGATGTTTTAGAAATGTAGGCATGAGGATGTTTTTTTGAGGCGTAATATGCACTTCCCAAAGAGGTCTTATAAGGATATTGAAAGTATTGTTTTTGTTTTTTTGTGCCCTTTCTTTGTTTGCCCCACCACAACGTCTCATGCTTACGTCACAATACGATGAATTCTGATTTGTTTTCGATTTTGTTCTTCTTGTTCGGAATTGGCAATCGCGTTTGCAGCGTGTCACGCTTACATCACGCTGCTAACGAACAGAAAGGAATTTGGTGAAGTTTATTGTGTTAGAAGACTCATTTAGTTTGTAATAATGACCATCAGATGCAAGATGTGTTGTTCGGTGCCTCATTGTAATCAATATATAAAAGTACGAATTTATCAATACACAGCTTCTCCGCAGTTGCAAATTTATGCATTGTGGAGAACATTTCAAACATTGGGAAACCCATTTCCAATTATATGTCTGTGTGTAGTATGCACTACTCAGAAACCGATTCAAAAGGTAATTTCATATCAAGAAAATATTTTTATGTTCAATTTTTTCTTTAATGCATTTTTTCATTCAAGGGAAATGGTATCCTAATGCAAAAGTTCATTTTGACAAAAGGCTTCAGAAAAGTACGTCGAAAATGGTTTTTTACAGCGATTTAATGTGCGCAAGACGCGTTGAAAATGTTCTGTTGTGTCCATGAAAAGGCTTTAAAAAGAACTAGGGAGAAGGTCGTTTTGTGACATATCAAGGACATCTCGATAATTGCCGCCTGCGGCGGACATTGGCTGTTCTATAATAGTTCTATTCATGTGTGAACAGAACATCGCAGTGGAGGTTCAATGTCTCGAAATCTCGTACTTTTAACATCTCTGAGATGTTTTTGTACTCGCTGGGTATATAGTACCTGTTTCAGACAGATAGGTGAGACTCGCATATCGTTCCCTACAAAAATGTTTTCCATCGCAATTCTAGGAATATGTGAGCCGTTTTGGCGGATATAAATAGTTTCGTCACAAACAAATCCTAAAGTTGAAAAATCTCGATTTTGTGATGCATCGATGAAATCAGCTCTTCAGGAAGAATCTGGAAATGCAATAAAATACAGGATTTTTTATCTGAAATAACCAGGTTGTTCTACTCTTTGATAGATGCAGGAATATTGCTTTGCTGAAAATATTTCGAATTTAGGAAGCGTATTCTGAAATATAGTGATATAGATAGTGCAAGCTCGTCGTTGCGTACCCTGTATAATTACTCTCTATTTGGCACGGTACCGGCTAGATTATAGTTAAAAAATCAAACGATTGTATGACGTAGGTGAAAACAAAATACGAATTGACACTATTGGCCGCCGGATAAATCATAGGCAAAGGATTACAATATACCATACAATAGGCCGACGTTTGACCGATACGGCTTGGCCAGCAATCTGCCGATCTATCATGTATACTGCGCCAGAAGGCGACCAGGAATTAACCCTACTTCGTCAAACTTCAAACCCACCTACTTGGAATATATTATTGCTGTCTGTATTGAGGATCATGACGCACTGGTCGAAATGGTGATGTTCCATGGTACTGGTAGAGTAGAGCACAGCCAATGGGGAGTCGGTTTTCATCTGGAAGGCATTGTTGGTACCTCTGTGGTCCAGGTCGTGGCACAAACAAGCCACGATGAGGCCCAAGATTTCCAAATCGCTCATGAACCTATAGGAGAATCGAGTCAGAAAGGCTCGGTACCTCAAGATCCTCACTGACCTTTCCATTTTTCCAGTTTTGAACATTGCAAACATCGTTTGGGCGACGTTGAGAGCGTGTCTCCAGTTGTGGTACTTGACTGGTCTGTAGTTCTTTTTGACGCTAAGTACCCATCTACAGAGAACCTTCAACATCACAAAAAATATTGTAACTTTGAACACTCATTGAGGATGAAATGATTTGATTGCAACAGAGGCAAAATAGATGTGAAATTTATTGGTGCATATATGCTTACTTCGTATGGTATGTGGAATTGCTGGACCAAATTGCATTCCAAGAACATCCGTATAGTTGCTTTGCACGTATCGTCATCAGACAGTTCGAAATCGATGAAAGTGAAGCTATACAAGTTGTAGATGTTTGCTGAGGGAATTGGCTCTTTGAGGAGTTTTTCAGTTGCATCATTGCTTGCAGTAGCGTGATACGATAGACATTCCAAGGCCACCTATGAAGGATAATTCAATAGATGAATTGAGGATATTTCTTTCATTAGAAGAGTACAGTAAGCTGGTATTGTCAGGAGGTCATAAGAATTCTTTCGTGGAGGAATCTGTGTACGTTTCTTTCATAAAAACTTGTCTGCACTTTCATGACTAAGTCAGTATGATTTGGCATGCTCTAGAGCACCAATTATGGGAGGAGTTTTTTCTTAAAGAGATGTCCTAAACTTATCCCAAATATAGCAAACACCGTTCTATAATCTCCCATAAAATGAACTATCTCATAAATATTTGGGGTTCATGTTCCAAGAATTATTTTAACAAAATATCTGTACTATATGAAAAAGCATTAAAAGTACTATATCGTCTTACATTTGACACCCCATCAAATCAACTTTCTGAAGAAACAAATGCATTTTCTTTGGAAGAGCACCATCTGATGAATACTCTTAAAATGTCTTTCCATATTATCAACAAATTCATATTGGTGGGGAATTCTCAAATCCATGAACATCATACCAGACAATATGACTTGTTTCATCTTGATGTTGCTAATTCTTCACTTGGCCAAAAAGAGTTCACTCACGAAGCTATCTCAAAATTCAATGAATTACCTGATGATATCAAAAGTTGCACAAATATCACTCAATTCAAAATTTGAGTCATGAATCATATCCTCTTGCACAGAGAATTAAAATATTCTTGTTCTATGTTGTTGTTTTATTATTAATATTTTTGTTAATGGAATATATTTATATTTATATTAGATGAAAATGAAATGTTTATAGCAAAGAATGAAGTAGATATTATTATTATTATCGTTAAGTTGAAGTTTGATCTACAGTCAAAATGACTTACTTTCTGCTTTGCCATCAGCTTGCAAGCGTTCTCATACATCTGGGTGTTGTGGATTCCAAGGCCACAGAAGATGGCGAAGGCTTCAAACAGTGAAACATCACATTCCGTGAAAGGTGCGTTCTTTTCTTTGTTAATCAACTGTGCCACACCTGCAACAAATATTTTCTCTCTGATTGAAGCTTTTGGCTCGATAATTTTCGGGATTTTACCGATCAAAGTCCGCTCTCCATTGAGGATTGGCATACAGAGAATAGTCCTGGCGTTTTCGGCATCTCCCTCATTGTGTTTCTCTTTCAGCCAAGCTCTTACGTCTCCTATGTTCAGAATTTGGCCCGTGGAAGCAGCATAGCCAGCTATCTGAGCTAGTGTGGAGATCGCTAGATCAAAAGACGAAGGTCTGGAACAAGGGTACAAAGATAGTTTTTGCTCTGCGGGTATCATGAAGGAATATTCGTAGAATCTCAGAAACTACTTCACAACCAACATATACACTATATGTATTGTATGGTAAAAGTCCATGGGGGATTTATGGAGGATACCAACACTTGTTCATCCAAGTAATTATAGTTAGAGAGGGCCATGGGCAATTTGCCCTTCATAATTTGTAATACTGTAAATTCTATTGTATAATATCATGTTGCCTTCCTTTTTTTCACTTCCACAAATTTTCTTTCAAAAATATGCTTCTTCAGTTAATAAATTCATGGAGATGACTTAGTGTGTCTTGCTCATCAACATATATTGGTTCATATTCTACTACACACCAACACAATTAGGGGAACGTTCAAAATTAACAGTAAGTTTGACATGAATTTTCGCATGAACCCATCGCTGGATTGAATTTTTGTTTCCAAGAATTATAGCTTGATTCTTCACAAATACATCTGACAAATAACAATCTTCAAACGATTCGTCTCCATATCATATACAGGGATGTAAAGAATGTGGAGGTCACACGACGCGTTATTGAAATCATTGTTGTTTTTCTGGATATTCATTGTTCGTTGAGTTGATGTTATTGTTATTGAATGAAGGCTTTGAGTAAATTACATCTCTTTTTAATCACCTCTGTATATTTTCAAAAATTCTTGACACAATAGACTGATACGTGAAACTGAGAGCAATATTCAACTTGAAGTGGAAATTTCAAAAGAAACAACTCGAGAAATTACATATTTTTGGATCCAATTCGATTTTCGAGGTGACAGAAGGTATTAAGAAGAATCTCCACCATTTCTTTGAAACTCTGTATCATCTTGAATAATGGAGATATCAGTATGAATAAAAGGAGGAAATGTTCGGAAAAGATCAGGCCACAATTTTGTGATACAGACTGGTGTCAATTGTCCTTGATTCACTCCACAGGATATCTTAAAAAATACCAAAAGTCTGTACATTCTTTCCACCTCTGTATATGATATAAAGACGGATCATTCAATGGTGTTTATTCGTCACATATATATTCGTGAAGAATCAAGCTACAATTCTTGAAGAAGAAAAAAAATTAAATCGAGCGATGGGTTCAAGAGAAAATTGATGTCAAACTTAGTATAAAGTTTGCCCGTTCCCCTAATTGTGCCGGTATGTGTATTTTCTAGAATATATTCTCTCTGATACAGACATTTCCGGAAATAATATAGCTATCGTATCTCAATCATGAAGTTCAGGAAATGAAAAATTCAATCTCATATTGAAATTACCGTAATATTCGACAACCTCAGAGAAAAATTCTCCTCTATCTCCTTTTGCCATCTTTAAACAACATTTGACCTGGCAATCTCGAGTTTGGCGAAGATAATGTTTTGAACGATAGCCAAACATTTTCATGTTCATCCACATCGTTCTGGAGCTAGTCCAATGAAAACTCAGCACGATGCCAAATTCATTGATATTGAAAACAAACAGGAAGTGTTATGAAACTGATTAAATTCCGAAGATGGCTCACCACTATCCTAGAGAATACATTCACATGAGTTTTCATGAAGCATTGTCTCCCAGATACTTGAAAGAGATCATGAATTTTGTTAACCATGAAAACTCGTATCTAGTGGTAGGAAAAATTCCTGTTTCACTAGCAGTAGCAAGGAATACGTCACGTACATTTATCCCAAAAGGTTTATTCAGTTTGTCAGCGAAAATACAATAAAAATCTTCAGGACCACACAGCTGGCATGGTTTCCATCACCGAATATTGGTCCAATGCCAGAAACAGGACCCACATAAAACTGGTAACACGTGGGTGGAATATTTAATGAAAACTTTCATGAGAAACTGTCGAAATATATTGTCTTTGTGTGTGTTCAGATCTAATGTAGGGGAGATACCAGGCTACAGATAGAATTCATCATTCCAGATTTTTTGGGATTTTCTCTCCCCGTTTCTATCAAATTAAAATATAAATTTATTCCAATATACGTGTAGTAAGGACAAATCAGATGATTCGCCCCAAAAAATCATCCAATCAGAGTGCCTGAAAAAAATTCACTAGCTTGTCAGTGACAATTTGTATTGAAAAAAGTTTGGAGAAGAGAAATAAAGATATATAGAAAAAATGTCGAATTTTGACGTAGCTTGGGACGTTTCGGGAACGAATCTGTTCCCGTTTTCAACATGAAAAAGGGATTTTTTGTATCGCAAATTCGTATTTGTCCTGACACTTTTGTCACTGACAAGCTATTGAATTTTCCTTTTAGGCTATCTGAAACTTCTCTAATCGCAGTAACATTTTGGGGCAAATCATCTGATTTGTTCTTACTACACGTATATTGAAATGATATTCATATTTTTATTTTATAGAAACGAAGAGAAAAATTTCCAAAAAATCTGGAATAATGAATGTTCCACCTCCTCGATCAACCTACAGACAGTATTCTACAGATAGAAGTTGAGGAAGGTGCATATCTTGAATCAATATCTCCATCAGGTGTACAATCTTTCAACTTCATAGCTCATTCAGGAGTACCTCAAGGATCGAATCTGGGGCCTCTTCTATTCCTCTTATTCATAAATGATATATGCATTTCAATTAAATCAAGCAACCTCTTGATTGCAGATGACATGAACATTCTCACAGAAATTACAGATATTGCAGATTGTTTGCGTCTGCAAAACGATCTGAATATTTTTTTCAAATGGTGTTCTGAAAATAATTCACCCCTGAATATTGAGAAATGCAAAATCATGAGCTATTCTAGAAAAGTTTCTACATTTTTATTTGAATATTTCATCGAAGATGGTAAACTACGCAGGGTAAACGAATGTACAGATCTGGGAGTTATATTTGACAGCAAATTAATATTCAATTTACATATTGAAAAAATTAAATCCAATGCCAATAGGGCTCTAGGTTTCCTCATACGTCATTGTAAAGAATTTATGAATCTTAGAGCTCTTTGTTCTATTTACTACTTCATTGTACGTAGCAAGCTTGAATACTGCAGTGCGGTATGGAACCCAAGCCAAGTTAAACATATACAAGCATTGGAAACAGTACAAAAAAAATGTCAAATTTTTGTTTTTTCAAAAAATATAATGTTTATCCTGAACGTCACTGCGATTACGATTTGCTACTAGAAGAATTTGCATTCGTTAGCTTGAAAAAACGACGTGAAATAGCAGACATGATATTTGCATATAAATTAATAAATAATCAAATAGATTCGGCGTCCCTTTTATCCACACTGAGTTTCAACATACCTCGTATCTCTTCAAGATAAAACCTGACTCTCCGAATCGATGTTCCAAATTCACAACATCACCTCAATAGTCCAATCACATCTATGTGTAGAAGTCTGAATAAAATGTGCCGTCTGTACTCTGTAGATATATTTTTTTCAAATTCAACCCAGTTCAGAAAGCAATTGTACACTCTTATTCCGAACTAGTTATATATTTTCATTTGTTCACCTATATTGGTTCATTGTAATTATTATTCTTATTATAACTATTATTATTATATACTCCTGTAATTGGGCTCCGGCCTGTTGTATGTATTATGTATAAATAAATAAATAAATGAATCAGAAGCAACTCTGAAGTTTGTTGTACCGGGTGAACAACTATATAACACCAACAATCCTTTATCCAACTTTGATCGTCAATATCTTCCGTTAGCGAAAAGCTATCATGTTGTAGTTTTCGTTGGTCTGTTGAGATTTAGTTTCTCCATTTGATCAAGTAATAATATGCATACATAACATTTTTAATTCACGATATCAATAATTGATACTCCAAATCACGCCAACAGCTCTTCTCAGTTGTTCACCTAGTACTTATTCGTATGGTGTGTATTTTCTTTAGTGAGTTTTACCTGGATACTAATGTTTGCGTCCCTCCCTCCCGTAATTCGAAAATGGTAGTGAAAAGGGTTGGTTTTCTGAGACCATTCTCCCTCATGTCTTCAGCTGTCACTGTTCCACTTTCTGCCCTGTTCAAAGGGCCAGGTCTTTGTGCCTGGTTGCTGCTAGGTCTCTCCAAGATACGTTCCAAATGGTTCTGTAAAGAATATTATACAGTGCGGGATCGAAACAAATGTATTTCATGTTCGTAGGTTTTCTCGAGCAAGCGAGCAAAAACGTCACGGTATAATCTGCATGTTTTCATGTTCGTTCAACTATTTAGAAAACTATTCCAGGTACGAATAGTCTGAGAGCCATCGCCAAAAAGATTCTCTGAAATTACTAAGCCTAGTTTTTTGACAGTTTATTACAATGGTTTTGTACACAAACTTACTGCGTTCAGTCAAGCGAAACTGAGAACAGGTGTCCCTGGTATACTATCGAAGTTGTCGTTTCTACCGGGGTAATGCAATGAATTTACTAAGGCTGAAAATCATTATACACATTGTATATTGCATATGAATGAAAGTTATTAAAGTCAGTCAGCTGACTGTGGGGACGGGAGCTGGTCAGTCAGCCCCAATGTATGCAAAAAATAAATGAATTGCAATTCATTTACTAGTCAGTCAGCAAAAAAAGAAATACAAATTTCGCGCGTGCGATCGCCGTTGCAGGCAGCGGCTCGCTCTTTTCCTCATGATTAATCAATGAAATCAATTGATTAGGCCATTTATTGATTATAATTTGATAGAAAATATTGAACACTCAGTATATTATACAGTGTGTATCACTTCTCATGGGAACACCCAACTATTTTCCGTATATTTTGACGTAGAACCATGAAAATTTCAGGAACAATATCTGAAAATGAACTCACTGCACGAAAGGGTTCAACCTAAGTGATATAAACTGCACGTCAGCAGCGATGGAACTACCCATGTTGCTGGAAAATTAAATTAGAGGGGGCAAAATTGACCGGAAATTCCGAATTCGTGTTCAGGATTCTCAAATTCTTATATAAAAAATCAGCCCTGGAAAATTTCAATAGTGGAGAAATCTCAATTTTTCACACCCTGTATCTCTGTAATCATTCCAGCTAGACTCCAAGTGTGATATATCAGTGAAATCAGCTCTATTCTTACAATTTTATGATAGTTTCTAATCATAAATGTATAATGATGCATCGCACTGCATGTAGTGAAAGTTCCGAGGAAAGTTCCCTAATTTGACAACAATATTAATGAAGGGGTAATTCAGTCAAGACGATGAGCAAAAATAGAATATTTGGAATCTCATAAACAACTAACAAATAATGTATTTCCAGTGAACAACATACGAAATTTTCGAAATTAATTTCAACTAGCTTCCATCCACAGACTGTCTTGATCTTTGTCCAATTCCCATTTTGTTTCATCCACCGTTTATTTTCTTATCAGTGTAAATATTTTCCACCTAGAATTAACAGAGCGAAAACAACATATTTTCAAAGAGGTATCTTGTTCTCAAGCAAATATTTGGTGGGATAATATTTGTCCTTTTACTGGCACCGCTGTGTAAGTTTCCATTTATAAAGGTTGTTCTAATTAATAAGAAACACATTTTCCACTTGGTGTACTCTTTGCCATGCAATATCTAAACCCACTGATACTTAATCCAGTAATATAGTTGAGCTCAAACAATGCCTCACTAATTAGAAGTTTCTTCAAAAACTCTTTAAATAATGCACTCTCCAGACTAGAAAACTTACTGATTGAAAAAGTTTCGTTGTCGAAATCCCGGCCGAAACAAAATGCGTACCTAAACGAAAATGAAATTCAAATCGCTAGCTGTTTATTTCCACCTTAATATTCCGAATGAAAAACCCTCTCCAATTTCAAAGTTTCCCGACAATAAAGAAGCAAGTTTCATTCCTATTTTTAACTTGAAATCCGAGCGAAATGAAAAGAAGATAATGGGGAAAGATACAAACTTTAAGAAATGTTAAAATGAGAGTACAGATTTCGTAATAAGAGAAGTATGAATTGTCGTCAACAAAAGAGCTTTCATTACTGAAAATTTCATAACTTCCAGGTATAGAAGGAGGGAAAAAGACAGAGCAGTTGTGAACGATTTATAAACCAGGCTTATTATCATGGATTCCTTTTTATCTTCCTTCCAAAATATTCATTGCGCATACTTAAATATGAACGAGAATTGAATAAATTATATGGTAGGGTCCAAGTATATTATATGGGATTAATCATGTTAAGTTTCGTGATAAGGTAGTTGCTGAAAATGTGATTAGTGTTTGGAGTTTCTTGTTCTACTTACCGCTTCACAACAATCTAGATCGAGAAGGTATACAGCACAACTCTCGCATTTCAGCAAATCTTGGGCTTCTTTCATTATTTTCGTGACTAGACATTCCAAATTATTCTGTTCTTCAAATATGCTCCTTGCCAAATTCAGTAATATCTGCAATTCAAATACATTTTCCCAGAAACAATCTCTCGATATTGAAAAGAATAAGGAAGAAACCATACTTTTTCTCTAGATTAGCACAAACCCTCTCAATGGAAACGAAAATAACAGTATTTAACACAATAGTTCAACCTCATTTTGATTACTGCGCGTCTATATTATTTTCATGGGACCTAAATAAATTGAACAACCTACAAAAGCTGCAAAATCGAGTTATGAGAATAATTTTGAAAGCCAATCGATATACACCCATTGTTGTTATGCCCAATACACAATGGTTCACTCTGTCTCTCAAAGAATTTATTATCTTACAATGGTCTTCATCTTCAGAATACTAAATAACTCAGCACCCTCGTATTTTCAAACATATTTGATATTTCGAAGAGATGTCCATTCATATATCTCACCAGAAATTGATGATTTTCATATCTCTAGAACAAACCGCAAGAACACTATGAGTTATTTGTTTTTCAAAGGTTTCCAGGAGTTTGATCAACAACCTCATACAATGAAAAACAGTCCCATTTTCACTACTTTCAAAAAAATATCGAAATCATAATTAAAAATCACTAAATTCAACACCATCTCTCTCGACAATAGATATTAAGAACTTGTAATCATTGTTGTTCATTGATTTATATTCGGAGTATATGTATATTTACTTTTTTCAACTGCAATTGAATGTATATGTCGGATTTTGTGCATATTTTTACCATAAATAACTAGTCATATATTGTATGACCAAAATTTGTCATTATTCCTCTTTAGCTTTATACACATTATGCCTATTAGTACTTCTCATTCGTAGTTCAAATTTCTTAGATATTATCATTATTAATATTATTTTACATATATTATTATGTCTTTTGGGATGCCTAATTAAATAAAGATCTATCTATCTATCTATAGTTTCTTTGTAACCTTACCTGATTTCTTTTATATTCCAAAACGGATACTTCGAACAACTGAGCATTCTGTATGCCAATACCACAAAAGGTGAGATATCGTTGAAACAATCTGACATCCTTTGCTGTGAATTCTTCAGAATTGTTGATTTTGTTGATAATCTGCGCCACACCAATCACATCCCCCTCGTAGTTACAAATTGGCATACAAAGTATCAGATTCGTCCTGTATCCTGTCCTCAAATCTATCTCGTTGTTGAATCTTGGATCCTGAAAGATTGGACCACCATTCAGAAGGTATTGAAAACAAAAATAGAAACTATACCTTGTATGCATCTTTGATATTGATCAATTTCTTGGTCTGAGCGACTTTTCCAGCTATGCCCACACCAAATGGAATTCTGAGGTCCTCAGATCTGGACAGTTTGATGGCTTCCTCGAAGGAAGTGTCGTGTCTAACGTCGAACAGTTTGGCCAACAGGTAGTTTTCTCCAGCTGTTTTTCTTGCTAGGAAGAGGGAGCCTCGGTCGGCGTGAGTCAGGATGCTGACGTTTTTGAGGATTTTGTAGCAAAGCACATCGATATCGAGCTCATTTGCTACGTCGCGTATGAGTTCCATGAAAAGTTCAGATTCCTAGGGAAAACTAGAGTTACTGGATCGTATTAGTTTGATAAAAGTTCGGACATAGCTGAACTTTTGCCCTTTTCTATATTCTATACAGAGTGTTCCTTAATAATATGCTGTTATTCAAGGGGTCGATTCTTCGACCCATTTCAAGAATAAAACTGCATATGAACATGATAATATGTCGTAAAAGTCCTAACTTCTGAGATACAGGGTGTCGATGTTGAAAATATGCATAGATTATTATTTTTTCGTCCACCCTGTATAGCTTTTTGTGATGGCAGAATGCAGTCTGCTATGTGACAGAATCGGTATACAAATTCCAAAATTTTATACAGTGACTTATTTTGAAATTCGACTTGGACGTTGAGTTTTGCTTCAAAATAGATGAAAAATGGCCCACTCAATCGGGGTCACGTGACTTTCGCTACGTGTCAAAAGTGACATTTTTTCAAATTAATCGCTGAAAGTAGGCTTATTTGTTCGAATATCGAAAAATTTTACTTGAAAAAGTTTAGTCTAGTTTCTAGTTTAGAAAACTAGACGCATATGAAAGCTTGGAGATATTTAAGAATAGTGATAGAGTAATGAATAAGGATAATGGACCTATTCCATATAGTGAAATAAAAATTAAGATTAACATGTGAACTCAACCATGACAAACATTAACTTGACGGTTAGTATTTTCCACAGTTGGGTGAACATATACCTAGTATATAAGCAGCACACTAGAATAGGATATTTAGTTTTGATCTTCTCCTGGAGATGCTAACATAGTTAGCGAAACACGTGTCGAGGAGTTAAAAAATCGGTTTGTTTAGTGGTAAAACAGTGTAGTGTATTATCGTGTCAAAGGTTCCAGTCTTCGATATAACTAGAGACCATGATTCCGATTCATAGAGAAAACATGCATTCTATCAAAATGGGTTGACTCGTTGAACATTAGTGAGAGGATGTTAAGCAGAATTTGTAATTATTGCTGTAGATATTCACCTCCAAAGAACCATAATCGCGACCAGGACGGACATTTTGTAGTTGATGGTCATTGTTGCTGGATGGAGACGCTGCCAGCCACAAATGGAAAATTTCAGATGAGATATTCGAGTTTTTTGCTGGCTTCGCCTGTTGTGGTTTTAATGCGTTCTGGACTCTGTTTTTCAGGTCTTGGGAGGCATAGTCTCTCAACCACCTGTGAAATAAGTTAATCATATCAATACCTAACCTGCAATATAGTTGATACTTTACAGAAATTTAAAGTACCAATACATTATCGGTTATCTTCACAGTTTCCTCAAATCCGTAGTTGTCACACTTTTCTTATGATTTCTATGTCAAACCTTCAGTTCAAGAAATTGAAAGCAGTCTTTCAATTCACGCAAACTTACATCAACAATATCATATACTTCCACCGAATTGATTAAAGTTAGAGTTCATTTGATTCTATCATCGTGCTCAGTGGATAAGAAGACAATATAGGTACTAATCACCAACTTTCTTCCAGGAAAAACTCAGCACAAACAACAATGTTGTGGTATCCTTCTAACGTACGAACTCAAAGTAGCATTTCGTTATCTCCAACCTTCCTCACATGGTACTGTGCTTTGAAGTGTTGAGTATTTTTTGAAAGAAATCATGATCTGCAACTGAGTCTACAACACTTCGGAAATAAACTTCCTCACATGAAAAAAATATATCCTTTGACCCAGAGTATTTGTTTGTTGTTGGCAACTAGATAATGGTATTCTCGTCACGTACGAACCATCAGCTATATTTCATAGTTTTAAAGACCCACTTCTCGACTAATACTTCTATCTATACTACACCTGCATTGAAAGCAAGTTTATTTTGAGTCTTTAGCAATATGAATACTACAATCAGCTCACCAAGAAAATGTCTTAAAAGAGTATCGATTCAGAGTTGTATTCTTCTCTAGGAAAATACCCATCACAGGCAACGATGTTTTTGTTGTACTTTAATGACACATGAACTATTGGAGTATGGAATTTCTGCAAACAGAAACGAGCCCCTTCTGAGACACCCACCTCTCGAGAAATCATGTTTAACCGATGAGAATTATTCCAGAGTTGTATTCTTCTCTAGGAAAAAAACTCATAAAAGGCAACGATGTATCCGTTTCAAAGTCGTGTACTTCTATGACACACGATATCATGTTGGAACACTGAAAAGTTCCTAGCCCGCCGATCCCGTGCAGAGGCTCTGAACCCTTCTGAGACGGGTTCTGAGGCGGCGAAGCCATGAAGCGGAGCATCGCTCGCTGAGACGAGTGACTTCTTCCAATTATGATCTACAGCACTACGAAAGAATATTTCATGCAGGAAAAACCTTCTTCGATCCGTATTGGTCCCCAGAATGGTACTCTGCTTCTGATGAAAACTCAACACATTCGAGAATAGCTAGTTTATCATGGTAACTAGGTAATTGTCGTAACGTAGGAACCATCAGCTGAAATAATCTTAGGAATTAATGAGGATGTTGGCTACCCCTGTGCCTAACATATCCTGACGTTCTAAGACACCCAACTCTAGAGAAAGCATGTACAATTTGAAGCTAGAACACTACACTTAGCAAACGAAGACATTTTTTTCAATAGGGATTGGTCCAGATTGGGAAAACTCACCAGAGGCAATGATGTGTTTGTTTCAAAGTCGTACTTTTATGACAAATGACCTTAGAGTCCCTAATATATCCTGGAGTTCTTAGTCTAAGATCCGAACCTAAGTCGACCTTCACCGAGCTGATAATAGAACGAAATATATTTTATCATGAATTTAGTATATTAAAAAACATATTAAAAATGGGTTGCCTAAAAAAATCCTGGGCAGACTATTTTTAATTATTTTTCGAAAAATTATTTTTAATTAAATGTTGCAACATCAGGATAATAAAAAAATTGTGTCCTGACTGAAAGTATGAAACGTATAGAATGTGCAGCCGTTGGGGTGTCTACTATTTACCTGGGCGAACTACTGGGTTGTCAGGTAAACACAGGTATATCGATGCCAGTTACTTTCACTGGATTGGATAATTTAAAAAAATGTATATCATCATAAGCGCTGTTTAATTGCGAACACGTTGATATAGGGTTGTCTGCGAAAATTCCGGTCCGATTAGGGGTTTTTAATTTCAACGCGCGTGGAAGTGTGTGACAGAGAGATCCGAGGTAAGTATACTGTGTGATAATAAAGGACCCAACATCGCAGTCGCTTGTGATGGGACCCTGAATAGTAGAAAGTGTGCGAAGTCAAATCCTGAAAACTATGGTTGGCATTTTGATGATTTCTTAAAACCAACAGGTTTTATCGGAGATCAAACTCCTTTGAAAATCCAGGACATTGTCGAAATGGAAGCAAATGAGGAAGAATCTAATGAATCAGACGAATTCGAGAGTCAAAATGATACTTCTGATGAATCAGATATTGAATAGAAAATATTTATTAGAATTTATTTTTCATTAATATTATTTTTGTATTTATACTGTTTTTTGATAAAATTTCAAATCGTAATACAAGATGTCTAGTCTATCTTTTTTGTTATTTCTTAATTTAAATTTTTGGCGGTCCACTTTGTTTCTATTTCCAGAAAGAGCAAAAAAATTTCAAAGTAAGTATTTGATATTTTTATTGTCTATTATAGATTATAGATATATCATTATGGTTATAACGCAATATACTGATATTATATTGTTTTTATATATTAGTATTATATTAAATATATTTAATTATTATGTAATTAATTAATTATTTTTTTTTGCTACTGAAATATCAGTTGCTCCAAAATAACACGCACTGTTTACTATATGAAGGGTAGTAGACGTACCTCTACCCTCCATAGTTTACACACCGAGCATGCGCACTTTCTACTATTCAGGGTCCCATCACAAGCGACTGCGATGTTGGGTCCTTTATTATCACACAGTATACTTACCTCGGATCTCTCTGTCACACACTTCCACGCGCGTTGAAATTAAAAACCCCTAATCGGACCGGAATTTTCGCAGACAACCCTATATCAACGTGTTCGCAATTAAACAGCGCTTATGATGATATACATTTTTTTAAATTATCCAATCCAGTGAAAGTAACTGGCATCGATATACCTGTGTTTACCTGACAACCCAGTAGTTCGCCCAGGTAAATAGTAGACACCCCAACGGCTGCACATTCTATACGTTTCATACTTTCAGTCAGGACACAATTTTTTTATTATCCTGATGTTGCAACATTTAATTAAAAATAATTTTTCGAAAAATAATTAAAAATAGTCTGCCCAGGATTTTTTTAGGCAACCCATTTTTAATATGTTTTCTAATATACTAAATTCATGATAAAATATATTTCGTTCTATTATCAGCTCGGTGAAGGTCGACTTAGGTTCGGATCTTCTACTATCTAGTACATCTATTTCTAGACTGCTATAATCACAAGTCTTATAAGACAAATATTTTTCTCTGGAGGATTCATTTCATTATCTAGGAAAAACTCAACACAACACTTCGGAAAAAACTTCTTCAAGCAAAAATATTCAACTATAGCATATGAACCATCAGCTATACTTTATAGTTTTATATAGACCTACTTCTCGACTTACAGTCTTACTACACCTGCATTGGAAACATGTTTATTTCGAAGTGATGGTAAGCAATATGAATAACACTCTTAGCACACGAAGAGGATGTCCAGAGCTGTATTATTCTCGAGGAAAAAACCTCAGAAGAAGAACGGTGTGTTTGTTGAACTATCCTATATATTGAAATATTGAAGTTCCTGCAAACAGGAACAAATTCCTGAGATATCCTGACGTTCTAAAGACACCCACCTCTCGACTGCCACCTGATTCTCCTCTAACCACCTCCCGATCCCGTGCAGAGGCTCTGAACCCTTCTGAGACGGGTTCTGAGGCGGCGAAGCCATAATACCGGAGCATCGCTCGCTAAGACGCGTTGCGCAGCGAGGCCGGATCAACGCTTGGTCGCGGCGTCATCCTTCGACTGACGGTCCTGCTGCTCCTGAAAGTCCTGCGGCTGGCCATCCTGCGAGGTATTGATTTTTGGCGGGAGGCGCGCGAAAGCGGGCGGAAGTCAACTGGGCTAGAGGGGCAGCAGGAAACTGAAGTTCTCATCGAGGTGGCTAGGTGGCTAGATAGATTATACCGGGTGTCCCAGAGCTTTCAGGCTAGCAGATATAGAATGATGATTATGTGACAGTCACAAACCATATGGTGAAAGTCAGTTGCTTACATTCAACATTTGTATATACTAACACTCGTAAATTTACTATACAGCAATACTAAAACATTTATTGCACCGCAAATTGCCACGACAAATATTCATCTAGCTTATAAAAACTCTGTTCTATCAAAAGGACTTCGAATTATATTTGAATGATTGTTTTGTTGAGTAGTTTTCCACATTTGAAGGAAGAGCATTGTATAATATTCTAGGATCCATATGATTTTGTTTGTTCCTCACATATATTTCATCGTTATTGTCAAATACTAGCATTCTGAACTCTGATATGACTAGACATGGTGATGTTGATATTTTCAGTCTCTTGAATATATCTTTGCATGAATCAATCTGTGAAAGTCTCGTCATTGATAGTAAAATTCGTTTTTGTGCCACGAAGATATCTTTTGCTAGGGTAGATAAACTCCAAAATATTACATCCTATCGTAGCCTACTCTCAACTTGTGCATAGTAGAGCTGTATCAGTTGATCAATATTGAGTATATGCTGCAAATTTTTAAATCGAAAGGATATCGAATTCAACTTTGAGATAAGGTAATGGGAGTGAGCCTTCCAATTGAGATTTTTAGCAATTAGCAATCCTAAAAAAAATGTTCCATTCGAATTGGTTGAGATCGATGGACATTCTTTTTGGATAAGATGAAACCTCAGTGCTTGCGTTCTCGAAGTATTTAGAAACAAATAATTTGCTGAGAACCATTTATTCAGTGAAATCAACACCTTATTGCATTTATTACGCAAGAAAGAGTCCATTTTTTCGGATATGATTAACGACGTGTCATCAGCGTACATTGTGAAGGATGCAGGTACAGAAAGTTTATGCGAGTCATTAATATAAAACAGGCACAGGATTGGCCCCAATATGGACCCCTGAGGGACACCAATGTCTGTTTCACTTTGCTGTGAGAAATGATTGTTGATTGGTACATATTGTGTACGTTTGAGTATGAATGATTTTATCCAATCTAAAGGACAGCCTCTAACTCCATGCTTATACAGCTTTTCCAGTAGTATGTCGTAATTGATATATACAGTCAAATGCCTTACTTAGGTCACAGAAGATGCGAACAGGGCATTCTCCTGCCTCAATATATTCTATTATTTTTTGATAATAGGAAAACACCGATGTCTTTGTAGATTTTTTGTTCAAATATCCATATTGTTTTCTCCAAATTATATCATATTCTTGACAAAATGACATTTATCTACCTAAGAAACAATACTCGAATACTTTAGAGAAAGTTGATGGTACTGTAACTGGTCTGTAATTTTCAAGGCTCTGACGACAGTTCTTTTTATACACTAACGCTAATACACTCGTAATATAACCGAAAATTATCAGTAGTCCATAGTGATATCCTTTCGTTCTAAACTGATATATTTCACTTGAAATGAACTGAATCAGTTAACATGCATGTCATTTACAAAGTCTTTCGAAAATACTCATATCAACTAATTTAGTTCTTCGGGAATCTCTGCTATCATCCCTTCACTAGCAATACCAATCAGACGAACTAGACAAGCCCAGTCAGCACATCCTCTCGTTGTCAACCTCAAAAGATGTCGAACAGCACTTTATCAAGACTCCTTCATCCATAGAACGGCTAGGCTCTGGAATTCATTGCCTATGGAAGTATTCCCAACAACATATAATCTCCAAAAATTCAAAAAAAATTCCAATACCTTCCTCCTGTCCCTATCCTCCATAGGAAAGCACGATGTTCTTTGAACATTATAGGGATTCCCTCTCGTGCGCTCCAAGCGATAAAAAAAAAGTTCTAGTGAAATATTTCGGTTAGTCCAGATTGAAAGAATATCACTTTTATGAAGTGGTCATAGAAACAAGTGGAGCATTATTGTCGTTGTTCGAGATGCGATAACTTTTTTGAAAATAATTGACAATCGGATTGAACAAAAAATTCGTACTTTCTGTTCGAAATTAATTTTTCCAATCTTTTCGAAGTTCATCAGTTATCGCATACCAAGTGGTAAGTGGTCAAAAATAGTGTTGAGGAATTCCCGGCGCTTGTTTTCCAGAAATTTTTAAACCTTTCTGCAAATCATATCCATCAAATTTTCAAGTCAATATCTCGAGATGATTTTGGAATTGTCGATCTTCCATACAAGGATATCAAATATCGATGTTCTTCAATATCTTTTTTTTTGCATTTCGCATTCACAAAAGTTCATGTGACATTCAATCCATACTGTTCTTAAATACAATCGAATTCATTCCTAGAGATGATATCTACCTCAAAAGCAGCTCCGAGATTTTGCCATTAACAAAATGAGCGTTTTTCAAATGATTCGTGAAATTTTGTGAAATCGCCTGTTCATATTATTGATACTGCGACAACCAAGTGCTCGTGAAATCTTGAATCCTTCATTCAGATCAATTGCCTAAGTCAACATTTCGGAACATTTTGGGTACCTACTTTGAAATTATCAAGTACCATACATAAATTCTTGAAGGAATAGTGATCTTCAGAAACTATTGAGTTGGTATCAAATTGAGAAATTACTATGGTAGGTACTCGTGTTCCTCATCGTTCGGAAAAAGTATCCGTGATGAGAAGATTCTGAGAAAATTATTACGTCTCAATCATTTCAACACTCAATATAACATCCCATCATGATAGATCTACAAAGCTTGTGACCGAGCTAGTAACTGAATCGCATCTGAATTGTGACAACTGTCATAATCTTACAACAATCAGTCTGATGGTTAGAATGAACCTGGAAATGGTTATCTAATAAGAGCTGCAGTTGTCCTTCACTCAGGTTGGTAATAATTATTGTTCATTTATTATATGAAGCAGGTAGTCAAAAAAACAAGTAGTGCTTCTCAATTTTTCATTGATTTCCAAGCTTTCATGACTTCTCATCGAGCGACAGCGAGGGCTATAAACACGGACATAATAGGCAAGTTGCCTTTTAGACATATCTATATAGTCAATTCGGTATTCATTAATGATTTTGAATTCATTTTGGCAAATTATATAAATCACTGGTGCAGAAAGATCGAATGATAGAATAGGTACTAGAAAGTACTGGAAACGTAGTGAAATTACTTTACCGCCTGATCACCTACTTTAGCGCCCGCCGGACCACTTTACCGCCCGCTGTACTCCTTCACCACCCTAAGGAGCTGAAGTGCTACTTTACGCCCGTGAATCCGGCTGTAAAGTGGCACTTCACGCCCAGTCGTGCATAAATGAATTTTGTCTGGTATCACATATAATTTTACGAATTCTCAAAGTCAATATTGATATTGAGAATCTGTCAACAGAATTGAGAATTTTTGATCAGTTGATAGCAATGACATTATTTGAATTCTGAGTCTATTCATCGTTATATTCCAACTAAATTATAGTGCTGATTCACTCACTCCACGTTAATATTTTTCCATTATACAAGGTGATTCAGGTTTCAAGATACAAACTGAAATGGGTGATAGATCTCATCATTGTGATCAAAAATGTGTTTATGAACATGAGTCTGATCTCGATCAGCAGCGGAGCTACAGGGGGTTTAAATTCAATAATTTTTTTCTAATAATTAAAATATATCTCGTACACTTCTGAAGACTTCGATTCGAAATTTGGTGTGGTAAATACTTCCTATAGGAGATCATCATTCGAAGCATGTTGAAGATTTTTTATATCTGATATCAGTTAACTTATTTGTGGAAATGTGGATAGAACTAGATGAATCTCAGCCAGTGGCTCAACTCGAGTACATTTCATAGCATTTTCAAGGAATTTTGTACAAGAATGAGATTTCAGCGAACATAGGGCCAAATTAACATGTTGCAGAACGTATATGCTTATTTATATTGAAAATGGTTCGTTTCTCGAAAAAAATTGGGAGCGAACAGAGCCTCTAAATCAAATGAACTACCCAAGTTGATAAGTGATAGATATCAGAGGCATACTACTAAGAAGATTGGGAGGGATAAAGAAACCTCTACCCCTAAAAACATAACCCTGAAGATATAAAAATCTTCAAAATCCTAGAAACGATTATCCTTCAGGAACTGTTAACCTTTTCAAATTCCAAATCGATATCTCCAGAGGTGAGCAAGATTAATAATAAATAATAGAAAAAAACAATTTTAACTTCGACCCCCTGTAGCTCAACTTCTGATCGAGATCGGACTCATGTTCATACGAACTTTTTTAATTATGATGATGAGATCTATCACCAATTTTAGTTTGTTACTTAAAACCTGATTCACCCTGTAAGTATACTGGTACGTACTAATCTCGAAACTGTCCCGAGATGATATTCTCCCCAAAGCCAAAGTATTATAAGAAGATGTTAGAAGAGATTCACCTGAGATTCTTTCTGAAAACTTCCCTACAATCGGATTCCATGAATACATAATCATTTTTCTTTCACACCCACATCTATGAAAAGAACAATAGTCATGTAATAACAGAGGTAAAATTCTTAGGCCACAGCTTTCCAGATATGTATTTTGGGAAATTGCTCATACAGTCCATGTTAATTGATCTACGGGGCCGGATTTCATTACCCAACCGCATAATAAATTTGATTACTTATCCGTATAATAAAATGAACCATTACAGGTCTAATAGCTTTCACGTTACCCATAAGAAATGAAAACAATTGCATCATCGTTGAGCGTACGTTGGGAATGCAAATGGGACATTAAAAAATCAGTGTTTCCATGATTCCACGACCTCGAAACAATTGAATGGTACGCACATACTTCGTTGCCAAAATTGGAATATCATCATCATGAATCTTGCATTAAAATTAGGTTATCAAGATGATATCCCGAGTCAGAACGTCATATCACCATGACAACTTTGACATATTTCCCTTTCTTCAAGTAGTCAAATGTTTACCAGTCTGCTCCGGAAATAGAGCCGAAATGGTACTCGTATCTAGAGCAGCTAACCTGAAAAAAACAGTTCCTAGATGTTACAGCATTCTTACATGCAATGCTGGTTCAGCGGTGAATACCGAGAGATCTAAGAAAAAAGAAGCATTCAATGAATGTGGCAAGTATATTCTCAGAGTATGTCAAATATATATCCAACCCTCGTATCTACAGGTGATCTTCAGCCTAAGCTCCAAACAATCAGTTTTTTTTTTTCACACTGCGATGTGATATACCTACCTATTGGCCCTATTAGTTTATAGAAGAAAAAGCATTAAAAGTCTCAAAGTCTGATGTCGACCACGATAAAAAAGAGTCAGAGAGTCGATATACCAACCTCGGCATTACATATTGAGAGCATAAAAGTTAAATCGAAAGCCTAGGTCGAATTTTAGAATATCAGTCCTGAATTTGAAATAGGTTTGAATCTGGAAAAAGTCTAGTAAAACCAGATCAGAATTGAAATAATAAAGAAACACATTGGCACAATTTATCAAAAAATTCTCTCACGTGAGATTCATCGTAGCTTCCATTTGCATTTTGCATAACCCAATCAATTTGACCACTTTGAGAAATATGGATGATGGTTTCGACGATTTACTTATTAGTTTAGTTCATGCTTAATGGAGCCTAGCGTGACCTTTTCTGAGGCCTCTGGCTGTATCGTTGACCGATAATTTGTACAAAATCAATCTCAATCGTATTTCCTTGGCAAAGCACTTAAGCAAACATTGTGCTCCATACCTTTCAGCATGAGAATTCTAGCTGAATATAAACGGGAAGACAGAAATAGCCTTTCAGTCTTTTCATTATCATGGCTATGGCAGACTTGTGGAGGCAAACGTAAGAGAAAGCTGACGAGCCATTTAACAATTGTATCTCAAGGTCAACAAACTGAACTGAATAAACACAAACATTCCACTATCAAGATATGATGTATGCATTTCCTCTTGCATTTATGTTTTTTCAATTGCATTAGACAGTGTGAAGATGAGTCCGATTCTGATCGTACACGGTGGTGCAGGGTCCATTCCGGATTCTAGAGTCTCGGAGAAGATTATTGGGGTGAAAAAATCTGTGGAAATTGGATATGAAGTTCTGAAGAATGGGGGTAGTGCGCTGGATGCTGTGGAGGCTGCAGTGAGATTCATGGAGGATGATGAATCGTTCAATGCTGGTGAGTTTTGAAATAAGAAATAGTATTGACTTCCAAAGTCAGTTCATACTGATGGTATCCTAGACTGACGTTAGCGCTGTTATTAAACTTCAGATGACAAGAGATACAATTCACAAAAAAATACGATTCTTGTCAAGCCATTCCATCGAACAATTTTGCCTAATGCACTGGCCCAGAAAATGCATGCCAGAATTTGCCAGAACATCAAAATGTCTTTAAAAATTAATGAGCCAGTACCAATAGGAGACACTGGCCGTCATCCGGTTTCAAATCGAACTCTTCCCACCGAGCTACTATAATCTTTCTTGAAATGAGGGGTGTACGGAATTTATTTGCTATTAACCTTCGAAGAGTTATATTTCATTGATGACTATAATCATCATCATAACAGATATATTCAGAAGAGAAATAAGGAAAAACATCCGATTCTCTGAATGACTACCGAATTTCTGTCACACCTATTTCATGAGTCAAGACTTCCCAATTTTTTTTTATAGCCGAATTTAATGACCTTCATGATTATATTCAAATGCAATGAATAAACATACATACATATACAGTGTCATTCATAAAGTCGGCATCATATGGGAAATTTTTTTATTTTTATTGATGATGATTTTGAAATTCGAGTTGGACGTTAAGTTTTGCTTCAAAAAAGATTTGAAATGGCCTACTCAATCGGAGTCACGTGACTTTCGCTACATGTCAAAAGTGACATTTTTTCAAATTTATCGCTGAAAGTAGGCTTATTTCTAGTTCTAATACATTTTTTAGATTTCGATATTTTTTAAAAATTTTCGATATTTCTGTAATATTAAAAAAATTGTAAATTCGATGAAACTACTTCATACCAGTAGTTTCATCATGCTACTAACTTTCAATTACTAATTATCACTAATTATCGACAGAAATATGATTTTCTTCAGAAAATGATAATCTCCGCTTCAAAATTCTGTTTGATGCAAACATTTAGGAACGAAATTCATTTGAATTTATTATTTCAGTACTGAAAAGATCAGTTTAAATGAATTTCGTTTCGAAATACTTGACGATATATCAAATTTGCATCAAACATACTTAACAGAATTTGGAAGCGGGTATTATCATTTTCTGAAGAAAATCATGTTTCTGTCCATAATCAGTGATGATAAGTAATTGAAAGTAAGTATAGCATGAAAAAGCTACTGGTATGGAGTAGTTTCGTGGAATTAACAATTCATCAAATATAACAGAAATTTCTAAAAATTAAAAAAAAATCAAAATCTAAAAGTTGCAATAAAAAGATCAAATTCGAAAAGCATGTGTAAAATTGAAATAGAAACCACTTTTTCAAGTGAACTTTTTCGATATTCGAACAAATAAGCCTACTTTCAGCGATTAATTTAAAAAAATGTCACTTTTGACATGTAGCGAATGTCACGTGACCCCGATCGAGTAGGCCATTTTTCATCTTTTTTGAAGCAAAACTTAACGTCCAACTCGAATTTCAAAATAAGTCATTAATAAAAGTTTTTCCCATATGATGCCGACTTTATGAATGACACTGTATATTAGTAGTAGTAGTAGTAGTAGTAGTAGTAGTAGTAGTGGTAGCAGTAGTAGTAGTAGTAGTAGTTCCGGCCCGGTGGTCGAGAGCGCGAAGGCGCTGAGTTTGTATGGGGACTCCCACCGAGGCATGGGTTCGAATCCCAGTTAGGCCATGGATGTTTGTGAATGTTTGCTTTCCTAACTCCGCACAAGTTTCGACTCATGGGGCGTTGGATCCAGTGTTGTGTCCAACGAGGAAATGCAATTGAAAAAAAATGAACTGAAAAGTAGCATATGTTCTTTGATGGTGAGTATGTACACACCAACTGGCCATCGACCTTACGAGAGGTCCTTCAGCCATGCTTTGTTACTGACTCCATATGCCATTTTAGGAGTAACACTGTTAATTGGAATGCAACAGTGAATCGTCCGGAATCATCTCCGGCCGAGGCTCCTATATAGGTAGTATTTTTCACGTCGTAAAGTGGCTTTTCATTGTCAAGGTAGATTTCATCATGATTTTATCAACTAGGTACCTTCCAATTCACAGCATGGGCAACGATTTTATCTATAGCTATCAATGATTTTTCGCTATGTGATATTCGCAAATGCGGAAAGAGAAGGATATATAATACTATCAATTCCTCAATGTATATTCGGAGCAATGAGTAGTCTCACCAATACTTATATGAATTTGAACATCTTTTCTGGATTGAATAGTATCTTACAGCTCATAGACATACTGATTGCTAACATTTCTGTATTTCTGAATTGATCAGTGAAGATTCGGAATTTTTTTGTTATATACCACAGGTAGTATAGAGAAAATAATATATATAACACTTTCATGATACTTTCTTTACTTCCTGGGTACCTATACTGATATTTTTCTACTATAATTTTTTACAAATGACTATACGTATATTTTGTAGTATACCCGACCTTGCAGTTTGAATTATACTTTAAGGATATGGATCAGTTTTGAATCTAGATGGAGAAGTTGAAATGGACGCCAGTATAATGGTAGGATCGAATCTGAAAGCTGGAGCTGTAACTGTCGTCAAAGATGTCAAGCATCCCATAAGGTAGTACCTACTGCTAGATCTCACCCAAATTATATTTTCTATCTTAAAAGATATCTTTTTACTGTTTTCTAGTCTTGCTAGAATGGTCATGGAAAAAACACCACACCTTTTATTAGCAGGAGCTGGAGCGAATAAGTTTGCTAAAGAACAAGGAGTACCAGCTCTAACTCCTGGTAGTCTAGTAAGTCCGAGTGCAGAGATGGCTCTTCAGCATTTCAAGAAGAAAGGTGGAGATTTGACAGAAATAGGACACAAAGTAAGAACAAGAGCCGGCTGGAAATTTCAACTGTCATCTGATAACGAAATGATATATCATGTCCAAAAGGCATATAAAAACATTGTATATTTCATCGAACAGCACCTGTGCCAATCATGCCTCGCTATCGATGCTGAGATGAGAATTATGCTATTCGATACCAATAATTGAATGTTAGATCTCAAAACATCGCTTGTACCACCCCGTAATCCGAGTCAAATCCACAACACAGAGTCCGGTCTTGGTCTTGAAAAAAAGGAATAATGAACTAATATCTACTCAATATTTAGACGAATCTGATGGAAAATGTTATGGCATTTTATTTCAGTTATTGATTTGTCATGTGGTAGGTTTTTAGTTTTTGTTTACTCAAAATCCGAAATATATAAATTCAGTTTTGCAGTTTCAGAGTTTAAAACAAATAGGTGTATGTTGTAAGGTTTTTTTTATGTTTTGGTTTCTGGTTGGGGGTGTCGCGATGCCTTCACGTATGTTATCTTGGCGTGATCACGACTTTGGGGTTTTGTTGTTGTAATTGTTTGTTGATTTGTAGAAGGATGCACTTATTGGAAAGTGATCTTGTTTGTAAATAAATGGACTGTATTTTTATTGTAGAAGGCTCAAAGAGCGTATTTATTAGAAGTAAAATATCGTCTGTAATGTCAGACTCTTCAACCAAGACTGTCGACTACTGTCTTCTCTCGTGCCTCTCAAGAAACTATATATTTTTACAATGCCTGTCAAACAATACCTAACACTCAAAACTCAAGGGTCGGTCTTATGAATGGGGTTGGCGTGACTAATAATAAAATATGGAAGCAATAAAATGCCCAGTGCCGGGCCGTGAAAACTGAACATAGCCGCCCCCTTTGAAAGATCTGACTTTCAAAAAAATCAATGTACAGAATATTTTACAAAAATATACAAGATAGACAAAGAGAATATACAGAATAATAACTAGATATGCGATATATATATACATAAAATATTAACTCGAAAATTAATTGAGTCCAAATAGGTACTAGTAGGTAATTAAAACTAATATCATGATTTCTTATCAATTATTGTCTCTTCAATCTCACTTTTGTCAATAGGTAACAAACAAATTTTTGTTATTGCCCGTTTCAAAACACCGTTAGCAGTTTTTAACGAAACCACTCTCACTAATTTATCCGCTCCTGGATGAACTTCTATTATTCGTCCCATCTTCCAATACTGCGGAAAGGCATTTTCATCAACCATGATGACTAAACGCCCGATCAAATCCTCAGGTGTCGTACCGAAACGCCACTTGGTTCGCTGTTGAAGTGTATTCAAGTAATGTTTGGACCATTTTGTCCAGAACTGCTGAATCAGTGCTCTCAAACATTTGTATCGAGATACATGACTCGATACCGTAGATGATACTGGATTTTCTGGTGGTGCCGTAAGTGGTGTACCAATCAAAAAATGTCCTGGTGTCAAGGCTTGCAGATCCTCTGGATCCTCAGTGAGGGGGTATATGGGACGGGAATTGAGAATGGATTCTATTTGGGTTAACAATGTATAAAACTCTTCATAACTTAAATGAATATTATGAACAATTCGCTTAATGTGGTACTTAGTTGAGCGTACGGCGCTTTCCCACAAACCTCCGTGGTGTGGGGAGCGCGCAGGTATAAACCGCCACGTAATTTTAGAATCTGCCAAATAACTTTGGAATTCAGACCTTCGAACAATATTAAACATATCCAGCAAATGTTTATTTGCTCCAACAAAATTTTTTGCATTATCCGAGTAAATATTACTGCAGATACCTCGCCTAGCTACGAAACGTTTAAATGCATTTAGAAATGATTCGGTAGTTAGGTCACTGACCAACTCCAAATGCACGGCTTTAGATGAAAAACAGACGAATAAGCAAATATATGCCTTCACCAACTTTCTATTCCGTAATTTGGTGTCCTTTATTAAATAAGGGCCTGCATAGTCAATACCGCAAGTCGAGAAGGGTCGTGATGGAGTTACACGTGTTGCTGGTAATTGTCCCATGAGTTGGGTCATAAATTTAGGTTTCACTTTGAAACAAGTAACACAAGTGTTCAATATTCGTCTAACCGTTTGCCTACCATTGATGGGCCAATATAAATTTCTAACATTTGCTAGGACCAATTGACAACCAGCGTGTAAATTTTTATTGTGCTCATATTTTACAACAAGGCTTGTAAAATGATGTTTGCTAGGAATTATTATGGGGTGCCTTTTGTCAAATTCTAACTGTGAATGTTTTAAACGACCGCCTACTCTCATAATTCCGTCCTCATCTGTGAAGGGGTTCAGATTGTAAAGTTTACTTTCTTTCGATACATTTTTATTTTTTGACAAAGCTTGCAATTCGTCATGAAATTCTCGCCTTTGAATAAGTTTTACTATACTTTTAATACTCGCCTCTATCTCATTCACCTTTAAATTTCCGGTAATTCTGTTTTTACGAGAAACTAATAATGCGTTGTGCCTAAAACGAAGAATATACGCTACTACATGGATTAATTTAATATATGATGAATATTTACATATGATATCGTCCTCAATTATTTGTGTTGCTACCAACACAACACGCTTCATTTCACTTGTGTCGGTTGAATTTATAGGGGGGCTCGGCCAAAATTGACAATCTAATTGAAGAAATGAAGGGCCGCTCCACCATATAGAACAATTGTTCAGTTTAGCGGGATAACACCCTCTGGATATTAAGTCTGCAGGATTCATATCAGTCGGTACATACTTCCATTCGTGATTTTTTGTTAATTTCTGAATCTGCGATATCCTATTAGAAACGAAAGTATTATAATTACTGGGATCCGCTGAAACCCATTTTAATACTATGGTCGAGTCCGTCCAAAAGTATATGTCATTTATGGTTAATTTGAGGGATTGTAGCGCCCTCTTACATAATTGTCCCGATATAAGAGCTCCACATAGCTCCAAACGGGGAAGCGATATTGTTTTCAATGGTGCTACCTTAGATTTGGCGCATATTAATCTAACCAAAGTTTCTCCTACATTATTACGACTAAGTAAATAAATGCATGCTCCATACGCGCCCTGTGAACTATCACTGAAGCAATGCATTTCTATTTTATTATAATTATCCACTAAAATTCGACGAGTTATTCTTAAATTATTGATATCAGGTAATGTATCATGGAATTGAGACCAACTATTCATTAGCTCACTTGATATAGGTTCGTCCCAACCGGTTTTGCATTTCCATAACTTTTGCAAAATGAATTTCGATAAGACTACCACGGGCCCAATCAGACCAAGGGGGTCGTAAATATGACAAATGACAGACAGAATACGCCGTTTCGTCATGATATTATGATTATGTGACTGCAAGTTTGTTTCATATTTAAAATAATCCTTTGAGGCATTCCAATGTATTCCTAATGTTTTCGACGACTTCTGATTATCCTTTATGGTGTAATTGCTATTGCTAAGTTGGATAGGTAATCCCTCTAATACTTCGGTATTGTTCGATACCCATTGCCTCAATGGTAAACCAGCACTATTTAATAGTTCATTCACTTGTTTTATTATTAATTTACCTGACCTTATATCTACGGCACCAGATATCCAATCATCCATATAAAAATCTGATTTAATGGATGATGATGCACTAGGAAAATTTTCAGCGTTTTCTATCGCGAGCTGTTTCAAACATCGCGTTGCTAAAAATGAAGCAGATGTCGTGCCGTAGGTAATAGTATTCAATTTATAATGTGTTAATTTTTCAGTTGGTTCTGAACGCCATACAATTCTTTGTAGGTCCTTGTCATTTTCTTCAACTAGAATTTGCCTGTACATTTTTTCAATATCGGCCGTAAATGCAATAACATGGGTTCTGAACCGTAATAGAATTGAGAAAATATCTTCCTGAATGCAAGGTCCTGTTTTTAAAATGTCATTTAATGATACTCCTGAGGGGCACTTCGCAGAAGCATCAAAAACCACGCGCAATTTCGTTGTTTCTGACGTTTCCTTTTTTACGCAATGATGCGGCAGGTAAAATTGTATACTATTTTTATTATTATGAACATCGTCATTTATTTCCGTCATGTGCCCTAATTCGACATATTCTTTCATGAATTTAACATAATTTTCTTTGAGTTCAGCATTGCGTGACATTTTTCTTTCTAAACTGTTGAATCTCTGAATGGCTTGTTCTTTATTATCTTGCAATTTGTGTGAGTTATCGCGCTTAGGTAATTCAACTACAAATCTTCCAGTCTGGTTTCTCTTAAATGTGTCTACAAAATGTTTCTCGCACTCAGATTCTTCAATTGAATAAATTGTCTGTTTGGTATCTGATTCTTCCAGTAACCAAAAGGTTTCTAGTTGATCATGTAACTCGTTCAATTGTGCAAAATTGCAGTGAATTTTATTTTTGTAAATTGACGAATAATTATTTAATGGACCCGAAATAATCCAGCCCAGTTTTGAATTCTGCAGAATCGGATTATTTTTTCCCGTCTGTATTTGTTCTTTTAATAAAAGGTCGAAAAATATTTCTGCGCCTATCAAAATGTCGATTTCACCTGCCTGATTGTATGTACAGTCGGCAAGCACGATATGTCTCGGTATATTTATGAGAGATTCGTCGAAACTGTGTTGCGGAATCATGCCTGTTATTTGATCTATGATCAAGAATGAAATAGTTGCTTCATAATTTGAACTTGTTGATTTTAATTTAGTTTTAGCCTCGAAGGAAACATTCGAATTTGACGAATTTATCCCTATCAAAGGTAAATGTATTCTATTTTTTCGTAGATTCAATTTTTCACATAATCGTGTTGTCAAAAAGGACGATTGACTACCGTTATCTAATAATGCCCGACATTTGTGGGGAATATTGTTTTCATCGTAAATATAAACGATAGCTGTCGATAGCAGAACAAAAGAATTATCGTAGCAATGTGCACTTGTCGTTGCGTTTACATTGCCTACTGTTTGATGCATATTATTGTGATATTCTTGGTTTTGGGTGTGATTAGTGTTTCCAGAAATTGGCCTAGAAGGATTTCGGCTACTTTGTGAAGTATTTGCCCCCCGTTGTTCATTGTTTCGAAGTGATGAATGATTTTGATTTGTCGTATAACGTTGGGGACTTGGATTTGGTTGGATGTCTGTTAAATGTAAAAGTATATTATGTTTTCGATTGCAGGTGCGGCACGGGCTAAGGTAACAATCCCTTGAGGTATGTCCTCGCCGTAAACAATTCGTGCAGGCCCGCAGATTTCTAATCTCACTTATTCTTGTCGAAATAGGTAGACCAAGGAACTCGGGGCAATTATAGATATTGTGATCATTATTGCAAAAAATACAAACGTTACGCGCGTTACCATGTGTAGTTAAGTGCACTTGAGATCTTATTTCTGTCGATTTTCTTGGATTGTAATTGTGTTGATTATTATGTTGATTATTTTTGTGTTGAAGAGTGCCTTGATTATTTTTTGTGTCAATTGACTCTAGCAAATGACATCTGTCAGTTAAAAAACTTATGAAACTATCTATTTTAGGTGAAATTTGATCTTTTGTCTGAATTTCCCATTCCCTCTTAGAGTTAGCATCTAATTTTGCAACCAAAAGATAGATTAAAATAGTACTCCAATGTTCTACAGGCTCTTTCAAATTCTTTAGTGATCTGAAATTTCTCTGAAATGTATCCAAAAGGGATCTCAATGACGTGTGAGAATCTCTGTTGATGATCGGTAAATCGACAATTTCCTTTAGATGCGTTTTTATTATTAATTTTTTATTCTCGTATCTCTCCTTCAACAGTCCCCACGCCACTGCGTAATTGACCTCGGATATTTCTAGCGATTGAATTAATTTTGCAGCTTCGCCCTTTAAACATGACTGTAAATAATAATATTTTTGTATATTGCTTAAAGTCAAATTATTGTCTATAAGCGATGTGAACGTATCAAAAAATTGGGTCCATTTATCATAGGAACCGCTAAAATCAGGAAGCGAAAGCTGGGGAAGTTTTACATTGCATTGCATTGTTTGTTGTCTATTTATAGGTGGATTTTGTGAGGTATCAGCACTAACATTATTTGTATCATTTGGTCTATTTACACGAAAACTATCAGCCCTTGCTATTGTTGCATAATAACTATTTTCAATTTGTGTACCAATAACCTTTTGTAAATCAGCATCATCGGCCTCTAATAATTCATTTGCCAGCTGTTCAATTTCATATTGCACTGACTCAAATCCCGCAAAATTATTTTCTAATCTAACCATTCTGACTTGAATTTCATTAATTTTTGAATCATTTTCATCTTGAATATCGTCCAAAAAGTTGGCAAACCGCGTTATTTGTTCTTTCAATGTACCCCTTCGTGATTTCAATTCAGTTAATCTCAATTCAGACATATTTATTGTAATTATATTATTTATAGAGAAGATAGATATAAACGAAGTTTTTGTAAATTGTAAATATCTCTCAAAGATTTTGCAAATTAAAGCGAACTGTGAATATCAATTTATCTAAAACTAATAGTCCTAACTATGAATTGTGATTAAACTAATATGTTATATACTGTTATACCCAAATAGTGTGACTGAAGTGGAAAATGGGAAAATGTGAAAGTAGGTAACGTGTAAATTGGAAAGGACTCACTCTGTGTTTTCCGTTGATTGCCTTGGCTACTGGAATCTTCTCTGCATACCCAGCGCTTCTTCGTACTTCTGGAATTCTGGAACTCAGGAATCCTGGCTCGAAGGACCAATGGCTGGGGGTGTCGCGATGCCTTCACGTATGTTATCTTGGCGTGATCACGACTTTGGGGTTTTGTTGTTGTAATTGTTTGTTGATTTGTAGAAGGATGCACTTATTGGAAAGTGATCTTGTTTGTAAATAAATGGACTGTATTTTTATTGTAGAAGGCTCAAAGAGCGTATTTATTAGAAGTAAAATATCGTCTGTAATGTCAGACTCTTCAACCAAGACTGTCGACTACTGTCTTCTCTCGTGCCTCTCAAGAAACTATATATTTTTACAATGCCTGTCAAACAATACCTAACACTCAAAACTCAAGGGTCGGTCTTATGAATGGGGTTGGCGTGACTAATAATAAAATATGGAAGCAATAAAATGCCCAGTGCCGGGCCGTGAAAACTGAACAGTTTCCACGAAAAGGGTTATCCTGTAATGTTCAGAGAACATCGTGATAACCAAGAGAAATAAGATAGGAATTGGCGTTCTTCTTAAATTTCTGGAGATTTTATATGCCTCGGAGAACACCTTCCTTGGCAATGTATTCCAGATCCTCGCTGTTCGTTGGATGAATGAGTCTTTGGAAAGAGATGTTCTGCAGGTCTCCAAAGTGACCACGAAAGGGTGCGAAGCCTCAACTTGACGGGTTAATCTCGCGGGGATTGCCAAGGGAGGTACAATTGTTGATAATTCAGAAGAGCATTGTCCATGAAAATATCAATAAAATGAAGCCAGATCGCCAACTTTTATACGGTGTTCCAGAGAAATGAGTGAGTTTGTGAGTGAGGCATCACCCACGAGACGAATTGCCCTTTTTTGGACAGAATCCAACAGTTTCAGGGTATGTTTCGGTGCCGCACTCCAAATATGGAAACAGTATTTCAGGACAGGTCGGATCTGTGCCTTATAGATCATTAGCAGCCGACTGGAAGTGAAATTGCTCCTGGCCCGAAACAGAGAAAACCAAGTTTTTGGGTTGCACTTTTAGCAATTGATCTCACGTAATTTTCCCAAGAAAGGTTATTGCTGATAGTGATACCAAGCATCGAAATGGATGTCTTCAAAGGTATGCTTATACTGCTGACATGCTTACGTTTGGCACAGTGAGATCGGCTTTTCTAGAGAAAAGGCATGCTTTTGTTTTGTTTGCATTGAAATCTACCAAGTTATTGGATGCCCACTCAAGAATTGTTGCCAAGTCCATATTTATGTTGTCAACATTTCTTCCTCGTTCGTTTCTGATTTGCCTGGCTGGTATTGGACCCCTGGAAGAGAAGGCGGTATGGAGGGTACTATCATCCGCGAAGCTGTGTACTGGACATGAAGTTGCTTCCAACAAATCGTTGATATGGAGTAGAAATAGTGTTGGTGCTAAAATTGATCCTTGCGGAACACCAGCATTCATGGTAAGAGAGTCAGATGAAACTCCGTCGACCACTACATGGAGAGACCTGTTCGAGAGAAAACTAGCTAGAAGAGAACATAGCTCACAGTCACAGTGGTTCATACCTCCTCCTGCTATTGAATATATATTCAAATTCAATACAAAAATATATGGTTTGAATTTGAAATTTTTCGAAATATTTTGAAAATGTGTTGTTGTCAGACTGATCAATCTTGGTCTTGGTATTTGTCTCGCGAAGCCCTAATCCCGGTTTATTTGCTCTTTGTTTCAACTCGTTTTCATATGACGTAAGTATGCCCGGAATAACGACAGCAGATAAATCGCTTTGCCGTCGATTCGACTCAGATTACGGGGTGTCAGAGTAGGGTTTTGAGATCTAGCATTCAATTGGTATCGGATTGCATAATTCTTATCTCGTTATTAAATCGCGATATCATAAGTACAAATTTACGCACAGAAAAGTGCCATTTCCCAATAATTTTGCCCTGGAAAGTAATCGGCCTTCGGAACAAATATATTATATAAAGGAAAAAACACAAACGCTAAGTCGGTCGACCACAAAGTTTAATTACAAAAAGATTTTTTGTGACTAGTTTCGGCTCAAGCAGTCATCTTCAGACACAGTATATAGTACCTGTACCTGTCTGAAGATGGCTGCTTGAGCCGAAACTAGTCACAAAAAATCTTTTTGTAATTAAACTTTGTGGTCGACCGACTTAGCGTTTGTGTTTTTTCCTTTGAAAAAATCTGGACCACTTTGAGAAGGATGGATGGTTTCCATGACTCAAATATATATAATTTCGTTATCAGATGACGATCAAAATTTGCAGCCGGCTCTTGAATTAAAAGTATCTCTAAAACCTTGGAATCCGGTGCTAACAACAAACATTGTTAGCACTTCATGGTCAATGTTCTTCTTACTCGATATATGTAGATAATCAACAGTTACTCCGCCGATGTATTCTATAACTTCACTCTCACATCTCCCTCTCCTAGAATCCAGGTGATGTTGGGACAGTTGGAGCAGTAGCTCTAGACTCCAACGGGAACCTTGCAGCTGCAACCTCCACAGGTGGTATAAATGGCAAGATGGTAGGGAGAAGCAGTGATACTTGCATCATTGGCAGCGGGACATACGCAGATGATGACTTCGGAGCGGTATCTACGACAGGTCATGGAGAAACCATCGCGAAATTCTGCTTGGCTCACACAATCGTCAAAGAAATCGAATATGGAAAGACAGCCCAAGAAGCTACTGAGGAGAGTCTCAAGAAGATGACTGCCAGGCTAAATAATACTGCAGGTTCGTTGCGACGGCAGATTTTTTTCTGCTCTATTGCGAAGAATCAATCCTAGAAACTGTAACGAATTATATGTGCCTTGAACTACGAATGAATCAATTGTTCCATGTACTAGCTCAAGAATGACTTTGTTCCTCACATTTAGTGTGACCCACACCTCGAAAAATTCCAATTCCTACATTATTTCCCTTGGTTCTCACGATGTTCTCTGAACATTACAGGATATCCCTTTCCGTGGGAACCAGAACACTAAAATTACAATGTGAATATTGATTCTGCTACAAAATGATTGAAATCGAGAATTTTTTCATGAATTTTGATATACAACCATTTGATGAGGTGCTGATTGCAATGGTTTGTTTCAAAAGATTGCTGACATGATGTCTTGATTTTTAACCTCTAATAAATAATCGCTACCGCCTTGGTTTCTGATGTATAAAAAAAAACGTCCTGGAATACAGTTTTTTGAGCTCCACAATTGAAAAAAAGTTACTAGAGATCGATGAATTTATATAAATTTCATTGAGCTGTCCACCTTTCAAGTGGGTGACAGTTTATATTTACCTGTTGATCTTTTTCTAGTCCTGAATTTTCTCTTGAACCTGATAGAATTCTTGTGAAGGTTGTTTTTCCACATGAGCAGGTGCGATATACAGGGTCGTGTTCCTCAACTCCATCGATATGTCTCGAGTAGCAATAAGAATAAAAGTTTAGTTCAACATAGGTTCACACATAATTCTGAATATTATCGACAGCTAATTACCAAACAGTAGAAACAAAATTTGACAAAATCGATTAGAACGAAGGAGAGGCAGAATTTTCTAGCTTATGATCGAATAGTATGTTTTCATCTTGGCAGTGAGCTCACTATAGATATATTCAATATGAATATTTCATGAATACCTAAACTTGACCTTCATTTCCAGGTGCTATCACTTTATCGAAAGATGGTCATCCAGGGATATACTTTACAAGTAAACGAATGGCTTGGGCTTATCAACAAGGCAACACCCTCAACTATGGAATCGATCCCAATGAAAATAATACTGAAAATATCTAGCTATGAGCATCTTTTTTATTACAAAATATATGTTTTTCTCTGAGAAATAATTAAACAGTTTCACAATAATAAAAATATTTTCATTCAGTCATGTACGTTCAATAATCCTAATATTAAAGCACTCAAAATTGCGATTTATCTGAAGTTATAGTACGATTCACAATATCTATCAATAGTTATGTACATCTGCTCTGCTCCCACTGCCGAAAATGAGTCCAAAGGCAAACTTTCTTCTTCAAGAGGAACCAAATCACATTATCAACCAGCTCGAACACTGCACGATTTGTTTCTCAACACCAACTACCATTTTCCAGGGCTGTATCCATGCTCCTCCTGAAATTCCACTTAATCTGCTGTTCCCTATGTCCATTGACTCTCCCGTTCTGCTCAGAGGTGATGAAATTCACTGCTGGGACCTGGCCTTTATGGTTCCTCTTCCTCTCGTTCCTCCTCTGATTTTCTGGCTCTGTCTCCACAGACTGCATACTGCTGGTCTTGTGAAGAGACAGCCTCAATGGCTTCTTAGGAGGAACTGGTCTCGCTGGCCTCGTATCGTAGCCATTAGGATAGTAGGGCAATTTCTTGGGATCATTCGTAGGCTCCGAAGTGTAGTCTATGTTGCTGATCCTGCAATTGGTAGAAGTAGAGTTACAGTCACTGTCAAAGTCCAATGACTTGACACTACGTGAGTCTCCAACTCTTCTATTGGTGAATCCACGGTTGTTGTCCAAGTCCTCGACACTTTTGGAGTCGTACTTAGGGCCTATATGGACTTCTGACCGGAAATCCAGGACCGAAGTCGACTTCCTCGTGTTGTAGTGCCTCAGGATATCAGCGTTGTACTTCTCAGAAGCAGTGATGCACTTCTGGCGATGCTTCTCATAGAGCGTGGCGTCTCGAGTCTTCGTCAAGTCTTGTACTATCTTTGTGGCTTTCTTGTAGCTCTGGTCCATAACATCATTAGTGTACTCTTTATCAGAATTTGCCTTTGCAAAATCTGCCGAGTACCTGTTATGCTCGTGGTTCTTCTTATTGAGCCTTTTCACGTGATCCACTGCGGAGTTGGTTTCAGAGCTATAGTCCTTCTCTCTGTGATGATGGTGGTGGCCATGTTTTCTGTAGGTTATCTTCTCGTTCATCAAGCCGTTGCTCACTGGTGATTGGACTCCGCTCCTGGAAGATCTGTGCTTGTGCTTGCTGTGGCTTTTCTGGCAGTTGTAATCTGGAGCTGGGATGTGGGTATTGGACACGTTGGACAAACTGCTTTTTGACCTCATTTGATGTGGTATTTGTTCTTTGGGGTCCAGACCGTTAGGTGTGTAGTTGGTTACATGGTTACCTTTCTGGAAAACTTGTACTTCTGAGTTAGTGCTAGTGGAGTTGGAGGGTGATTGTGTTCTGATGTTGATGTGGGTTACGTTATGAGTAGATTTGGAAATCACTGGGGTGGGAGAGATGACTCTGCAGTCTGGATCGGATGGTTTTCTACTCAGAAGATCCGAAACCTGAAAAATATTGCATCAGTATCTGTAAGCTTCATGCTAATGCAACTATTTGAGCGAGGTTATAAAAATTATCATTCACATAGAAACGTGATTCCATGAATCACTTGTTCAAAATATAATGTAAGTTTAATCAATGATTCATCTTCTAAAGTTCACTATTAATGTGTATTAGGTATCAAGTACAATCAAGAGCACTTATTACCTGTTCTTCGAGGTAAGATATCCTGTGAGTCAAACGAATATTATCTGATCTCAAAATGTCCTTGGCTTTCTGTGCTTCCTCTGCTTTCTCTATGGTTGATTCGAGCTCTGTTCGTAGGGCTTGTATTGCTTTAGAGTTGTTATTGGATACAATCGATGATTCTGACTGAGACAATCTTCTGAGTAGGACTATCTGAGCTGGATCAGGATCAGCAGCTAGAAGTCGGTTCAGATCTTCTCGGGTTTTGTTGAGAACAATTTTTCCATTTACCTCGATCAGCCTTAAGGTTAAAAAATAATCCGATATTATCACGTGAAGAATGTACAGCGTGATTTTAATTGTTATTATCTAAGATTATTCAATAGATAGGAATGCTTGGGTACTTAGTTCACTAGTCAAGAATGCGTAAGTTCTCTTTATAATTAGAATGCAGTCTATTGTTTTCCAGCTCAATGTGATTCCTCCGGGGTCAAGAAGAACAATAGTATTCATTTTAGTTTTGTTCCGTAAATTGCTTTTCCCAAATAATTCATTCTGTACTACCGGTAATGACAGATAATGCTGTAAACGTGAAGGAAATGTTATTGTTGTAGAATTCTTGCAAACACCAATATGAAATCAAAGTGAATAATTACATGTGTTAGCTGCTCTCAGTGATATTCGTGGGATTGAAAAATTGCGAAAGAGATTATTCTTTGTGGGTAAACCATGAACACAAAGCTAAGATCACTCACTATATAGTGAATCATGTGTTGAAAATCAGTAGTTTATGATCATAAATTAACTTTTGAATATACGATATACAATAGAAAACAATATGTTGATGTGGATAGTACTTGTATATTCCCATAACATATACAGGGTGAGTCATGAGAAACAGTACATACTCCTACCACGAATAGAGGCCCTTCTCCGATATATAGGGTGAATTATGAGGTTTGGCGTCTATCATGTATATCGTTTTCGTGAACTGTGACAGGGGATTCTCAAAGGTCTCAAATAAACATCAAAATTATAAGATTCCACATTTTTCTCAAACTTTCACTGCAGTTTGAAAAAAAACAATAAATTTTATGAAAACACGAAAATTTTGCAAAAAAGTGTATTTATTTGGAAATTAGCTGCGCGGTGCTACCCATATATTTCACGAATAAAAGTGAGACTTACATTTTCAATGCTTCAGCTCAATGGGAATCAACATATTATTTTATTTTCAGGCCTTAATTTAGTAATTCAATTTTTTTGTGGAGGATGATCAGGTCTTTCTCGAATCAGTGGATGGGGTATATGTGAAAATGTTGATGGTCATCGCTATGAATAATTCAATGATTTCAATTCACAGTTTTATCTATTCGATTTATTTTATTCAGTTAATTTGGTTCCTTATTTCCCGTACTAGAATTATTATCCGCCTTTGTCAGTATAGCTTTTGAAAAATAATTGCGAATAAACCTTTATCTTCTGTTCGACTATCTTGAATCATTTGAATCCATGACCATCAACATCTAAACAGATACCCCATCCACTGATTCGAAAAAGATCTACAGGGTGATTATTACTCTCCACAAAAAATTAAATGAAGAAATCCAGGCCTGGACATGAAAGAACATGTTGATTTCCATTGGGATGAAGAATTGAAAATGTGAGTCTCACTTTCATTTGTGAAATTTATGCATTGCGAAGTAATTATTTTCGAATGAATGAATTTGTTGTGAAACTTTCGTTTTTGCTTATAATTTATCGTTTTTTGAAAAATTCTGTGAAAGTGTGAAAAGAATTTCGAATATTCCATTTTTGATGATCGTTTGTGTGTTCTGAAAATTTCCTGTCACAGTTTACAAAAACCATATACAGGATGAAAACTAAAATATCAAAATTTTACGAAAACGGTCCTGGATATTCTCGATTCTGGAAAAGTCAGTCGCTTAGGGTTTAGAAGAGGGATATTCCATGGAAAAAATCAGACAAATCAAAGGAACTATTGGAAAGATATGGCCAAAAGATGTTTCTACCAAATCTCATAATTCGCCCTATATATTGGTAAAAAAGACACTTTCTGATGGTCATTAGGTATTCTCTTCGAAGGCCTCTATTTATAGTAGAAGTATTTACAGTTCCTCATGACTCACCCTGTATATAATATGTGATGTACTGCAAGGGTCCGTTTTGAGACCAACTATGAATGAACTTGAAGATTCGTTGGTTCAAACTTGTTTGGTTATTTCATAGATTTGTTCAAGAAAAGCGTTCAAAATTGTTAACGTTCTAATACAAAATACATTCTCAGGAAATGAGGTAATCAATTTTTTAGCGAATAATTTTAAATGTAATATTGGCATACAATTGATACAATTCCATAATTAAATAATTTTACATAACGAACAATATATATGTCTATCTAATGAGATGAAAAAAATGGCAGGAAGCGCAAATATCGAAAACTAATTATAGATATAGTTCAGGACACTTTCATTTTATAATGAGATATGAATCAAGGATTTGAATACTTGAGTATATTTTTTGGTGTTGAAAAATAATCACACAAGTATTATATTATAATATATTGTTTATGATTTGTTATCCCGATCGTAAACAAATCATTCTGTATATTCCTATCATAGACAATAACTTCATCAATCAATATATCTATTGATATACAGGGTGATTCAGGTTCAAGGGCACAAACTGAGATGGGAGATAGATCTCATCATTTTAATCAAAAAAGTTTATATAAACATTAGTCCGATCTCGTTCAGTAGCGGAACTACAGGGGGTCAAAGTTGAATTATTTTTTTCTATTAATTGAAATATCTCGCTTACTTTTCAAGATATCATTTTGAAATTTGGTGTCGTCAATACTTCCTAGAAGATCATCAATTCAAGCATTTTGAAGATTTTCAAAATTTACAGGGTGATACGTTTTTGAAGGTAGAGGCTTCTTTATCCCCTCCAAACTTTTTCGTAGTACGCCTCTGGCATCTTTCACTGATCAAATTGTGTGGATTCAAAAGCCGGTGGCAAAATGCCAATTTTCTAACAGAAGGTGATTATTCCTTCCGCGATTCCATTATTTCTAATCCTATCAAAGTAGTAGAATTTTTTTACTGAAAAAAAAAACTTGACTTTCTACCCTCCGTATCCCCGTTACTGATCCAGATTGGACTCGTGATTTCAATTTTAGTGAGTACATTTCATTGCATTTTCAACGAATTTTGTCAAAGAATAAAATATTTAGGCGAAACATACAAAATTAACATTTATTATTATTATTTATCTCAAAGACGGTTCGTTTCTCGAAAAAAATTGGGACCAAAAAAGGCCTCTAAATTGAACGATCTACACAATTTGATCACTGAAAGATGCCAGAGGCGTACTACGAAAAAGTTTGGAGGGGATAAAGAAACCTCTACCTCCAAAAACGTATCACCCTGTAAATTTAGAAAATCTTCAAAATGCTTGAAATGATGATCTTCTAGGAAGTATTGACCACACCAAATTTCAAAATGATATCTTGAAAAGTAAGCGAGATATTTTAATTAATAGAAAAAAATTATTACACTTTGACCTCCTGTAGCTACGCTAATGAACGAGATAGGACTAATGTTTATATTATCTTTTTTGATTGAAATGATGAGATCTATCTCCCGTGGCCGAGTTTGTCTATGCGCTGAAATTCGCTAGATAGCCGTTCACGATGCAGAGGTACTGTCGGTTCGAATCCGGCTATCGGCTGAGCATTTTTCTTTAAGATGTGTGATTCATGGTTGTGATCCTGGCAGCACCTCGATGCCCTAGAAGTGGTTCGGATTCCACTATAAGCTGTAGGTCCCGCTCTTCCTAACCCCGCACAAGTTTCGACTTCTGGGGAGTTGGTTCCCAACTTTGAAGTAGCGATATACAAAGACAAAGAATTCCAGTTTGTGCCTTAAAACCTTAATCACCCTGTATAATCATATGATCCATACTGGATCCATATTATGTGAAATTGAAATGGAAAAATCGGTTCCAAATGGGATCCTTGCGGTATACTACAACTGAGTTTGAATCTTTTATGGCGATATTCACCCCAACGTTCAATAGAGTATGATGTTATATTCGAATATTGACATTGCCAATGAAACTATCAAAGGTAGGTAGGTGCCACAGGTGCGTATCATACCGGATACATGGGTGGAAGGTTCTGAACCATTATTTTAATCCACATAATGGTTTTCCGGTTGTTTTTGTTGTCGTGCCCTCTGCTTGCTATCAGACCGTATCTCGTGAATTTATTGCTTAGTAAAGGACAAACTATCATAAACATAAGTTGGTAGGTTGGTTCTTGTTAACTTTTCGTTACCATCAGACTACAATAAATTGAAAAATATTCGATGAAGGACAATGAAAGTATGATAGTGAACCAACTATTACACTATCGGAATAGGAAATTTGTTTTTGCATACATTGAGTACATAAAGTACCGCATAAATTCATTATTGGCTAAATGAACAATAAAATCAGAAATTCCCGAAACAGGTCGATTTCTTATTCCAATTTACTATTGTTTCAAACCATAATCTAATATACAGGGTGCACCACTTTCGTGTAATGACGTCATCACCATTTCTTTTAAATGGAACCCCCTTTTTTTCAATTTTCCGATTGCCCTTGCTGAGCTGATTTCAAACGTGTATAATGTTGCTTCAAATTGGTACAGGGTGGGCAAAAATGTAAAAATGATAAGTAATACGTTACTGAATGTAATAAACAAATTAAATGGAATTACGTAGTTATGCAATTAATGTGATACACTTCCAAAAACAAATAAACAAACAAACGAAAATTTACAATAAATATGTTCTATACTGAAGATTCTCCAATACCAAAATCCCTAGATAATCCTCGTACTGAACAGTGTGGATTTTCCACTGCCGATAAAATTATGTCTTGTTGTATACTTTCATCAATTTTTGGTCTACCTTGCTTTGCTGCATCCCTCACATGTCCTTATTCTCTGTATTTTCGTTCTATTCTGCTTACTGTAGATTGTGAAATAGTTTCACGATCTGGGTGCATCTTATCGCCAATACCAATCATCATTAATATTTCAATCCCATCACTTTCGGTTGAAGGCATTTTGTGAAAAAAGTTCACGAATGTACCTTCTCTAAAGCGTTAACAATACGTAACAATGTTTTTGACAGTTTTTAGTCAAATGAAAAAAATGGTAACAAATGTTGTCAAACAAGAAGATTTGTATAGACCACGGGCTTGGACCACTAATAAAAGCTGTTAGATACAATTATTAAGAATATTGCTGAATGTTCTTGATAGTTTATCAAAGTAGTTGTAACAATAGGTAATTCCATTTAATGTGTTTATTACGTTTATTCTTTATTTATTACTTTGTAAGTAAATTTTTGCATTTTGTCCACCCTGTACCAATTTGAAGCAATATATCATACATTTTTGGAATCACCTCAGCAAGGGCAATTCGGAAAATGAAAAAAAGGGGGTTCCATTTGAACAAAAATAGTGATGACGTCATTACACGAAAGTGGTTCACCCTGTGTATCAGATTATGATTTGAAACAGAAGTAAATTGGAATAAACAATCGACGTGTTTTGGGAATTTCTAATTTTATTGTTTATTTAGCCAATGATGAATTTATGCGTAACTTTATGGACGCACTGTATAAGCTGAATATTGTGAATTAAGAAATGGCTACCTACACCTGAAAACATCTTCCTTCTTATATTGTCGATCAATAACTGATCGCTACTTATTAGAGCATACATATTCATGATTACAGAATGTATAAACCCAAAGAACAGCTTGTTAAAAACATCATATTAATAATTAAACTGGTTGCATAATGAGGTGTAGGTAGGAACATCTTGGGAATATTCTCGATAGCACAAATTCTGTAATCTAATTTAATTAGATACCGTCGTAAATAAGATCATGCTACACCCAATAACTCTTTTTTTGTTGTAATTCGAACCAAATTCTCCTTGAAGTAACGTGAGATTTCACGAGTCTGAGAAATATAACGTAACACTTTTTGTGATACTCTTGAGATTCTCTTCGGTAGAGATTCCAACAGTTACATGGTGATTCCTTTTTTTTCAAACTGAATCATTGATTCAATACTGGTTGAATGTTATAGAAAGAATGATGGTAATGATAATGACGTAAAGAATTGTTGAACCAATCAAAAATTATTTTGGTAGTTACTCACCTATCACCTTTATGTAAGTCAGTATCTTCTAGAGCCCAGTCTATATAGAGACCAGCAACAGAATCTTTTTGACCTGCCCCAAACTTTGGACTCTTGGGGTCATATTCCAATTCTACTGCTTGTAGAATTAAAAATTCATTTCCATCTACACAACTGAAACAAGTAAAATCACACAGTTATCAACAATGAATAGTGAAATCATAAAGGAAACTAAGGACATAATTCTTTCCCCATTGACAATCTTAATTAATTTGATTTTCTCGACAGGTAAATTTCCAGATATTTTCAAATATGCAAAAGTAATACGTCTTGACAAAAAAGGAGACGAAGAGCGAGTCGATAATTATAGACCTATATCTATCATGAGTATTTTTTCAAAAATTTTAGAAAATCTACTAGATAATAGAGTCATCAAATATTTTGAAATCAACAATTTCTTTTGTAGATATCAGTTTGGTTTTCGCAAGAATTGCTCAACTATCGATGCTGCTATGAATGTTGTCGAAAGTATGGTTGAGGGTTTTGAAAAGGAGTTGCACTATTGGACCTATCTAAGGCTTTCGACTGTGTTTCCCACAACAAATTACTCGAAAAACTTTTATATTATGGTGTTAGAGGAATTAATTCAGAACCAATAAAAGCATACTAGAATAATCGTTTCCAGGCAGTTTTTTATAGCAATGAATTTTCTGAGCTGAAACCAATTAACCTAGGTGTACCACAGGGATCGGTATTGGGTCCGTTTTTGTTTGTGATTTATATTAATGATCTTCACAACTATATGGAACCAGGTCACAGTGTATTATTTGCTGATGATACATCCCTCATTTACTCTTCAAAAAATCTTTCAACTCTTGCTAATCAATCTGTCGAAATACAAGAAAAAGGCAACTATTAGCTTAATGGGTTTTACCCTGGATAATAGGTTAAATTGGTCCAGCCAGATCTTAGGTTTGGAAAGTTAATTATCGAGTGCACTATTTTTACTTCGACAACTAAAACCTATAACTGATCTCACTGCATTGAAAATGGATTTTTGCTCACTAATTAAATCTCATATTCCTTATAGAATTCTACTATGGGCAAATTCTAGTGATGCCCAATGTATTTTCATATTACAAAAAAAGGCTCTGAGAATTCTTGTTGGAACTGGTTGGAAAGATTCGTGCCGTGATTCATTCATCACAAAATAATGTCAGTACCTTCGATGTATATTTATACGAGTATAGTAGAGATTCACAAAAAAGCTCCCCTGCTTCCTAAGCAATCTAGCGTACATAATCACAATAGCGTGTATTGTGATCTCATAAGACCTCAACGTTACAAACTCAGCAAATCACGAAAAAAATTGTCATGATCTCAGATTATATAATGCACTTCCTGTCAGTATTAAAACTATGAATATGTTTTATTTCAAGGGAGTAATCAAAGACTATTTTGAAGAAAATAGCTTTCACTCGATTGCAGAATATCTGGCTCACGTTGGTGGCCACTATTTTGATACAAGGAACACACTTGCCGAACATCCACTATTGAGCGAAACGAAAATGTGTATTTTGTTTTTGATTTTGTCTTTTACTGTATATTCTTTGTCTTTTATTGTATATTATCATTTTTATATTCATTTCACCAAAATTGAATCATTTAGGACTTGCTGCGAATGTATGAATGTATATCAAGTAGTCAATAAAACTCTACTCTACTCGTATGAATCAAAGTGATCTTTCTGTTCATGAATTGTGTTATACCTGTACAAGGTGTGCGAGTTTGATGAAGCTTTATTCGATTCTTCTATACACATTTGGAGAGCTCTAGTTTCTTCTAACAGTGTTAGAAGATTGAGTTCTTCCCTTCCCAACTGATATTCCAGTTCTGCTTGTTGTATCCGTACATCAATATTGCTGAAAAAAGAAATCATAATATATTCGTCATCATGTTTCGCAACAATAATATCTAGACCTACTCTGTTATATCTAATCTCTCCAACGCCATCTTCAGATTCTTGATAGCCAGTCTTTTGTTGTCAACGTCAGTTCTCAACCTGTTGAGTCTATCTTCAGCCTGCCTTCTTTCAACATCGCTCAGTTCTTTGATATTGCTGTTGTTGTTAGTACGCATGGCGTTCAGTCTCAGCCCTGGTAGGGTCAGTTGACCCTTCAGGCTTTGTATGATGTTTTCCTTGTCCCTCAAGGCGTTTCTCAGATTCTCCAACTCTTTCAAGGCCAACTCCTTGGGGATAGATCGTATGGAGGAGCCTATACTGATGCCTGTTAGGCTACCATTCTTCTTTCTTCTCGGTGTACTGGACAAAGACACTTCTATACTGGCCATCTACAAAACATATTCAAGTTTATGAGTTAATCCCAATGATTCCACTAACTTGAGATCTTCTGAGCAGAGTGTAGAACATGTCTTCGATAATTATAAATCAGCGTAAGTCCGTCACTATATGCAGAGACCTATATGAATCAAGTAGTATAAGATTTTTATTTCAGTGAATTCTGTTGATTTTGGAATGGAGAATCAGCAGATTTTGTACTGACAGTAGTATTCGCGGTATATAGCCTCAGAGCCTTCCTGGATGATGTTAATTGTATTTGCTGTATTTTAACATTCAGATAAATCATTCGATAATAATTACTCCTTTGGACAATACATTTTTAGGTAAGGAACAAGTCAGTATGATCACGAATTCGAACAAAAGGCATCCAGGTAAAATCGTGAAGATTATACATGAATATTTGTGTAAAATTGAAATTGCCTACCTAAATATATTATAAAATAAGTAAAAAATTTGATAACGAGGTGGTCACAGTCACATAAATCACGGGATATTTATTCAAAGTAAAACAATGTGGATGAAGAATCATTAAATATCACAGAATCAAAAGGAATAGAATGCATATGAATTAGACATGGCTGTATGAAGTTTGACCTAATATTCGAAAGGCTGTTTTCATTTCAAGTATTTTGCCAGTGTTTTCTGTCGGAATATTCCAAAACGTTTGTAGTTACATTCATAATCTAGTGTTTCCAACCGTTTATGCCACTTCTTGAAACTGTACCTACCTTTCAGAAATGATAAAACCAGTTCGAATATTGTGAATTCTTTTCACAATCGTGTAGACTGAAAGATGAACCACCCACATTCAGTTTTATAATAGAAGTGGGCATGGCAAAGGTGTATAATACTTATACCTGGAGTTATGAATCTCACTCTCAGACAATCCGATTTTTCATGAAGTTCTTACACAGGGATCATTTATCTTTCTTTGTATCTCGATACTTCAAAGAAGATTTATCGTAAGGAAGAAAATGAAGTGCTCAGGAAGACTGTATGTTATCAATAATTAGATAGGTATTTATTGTTGCTATTGCATCTGTAATTATTGGTGCTAAAGTAGTTGTCTTGTGTTGAATAAACCGAGAAAGAATTAATATTTTTATCACATGGAGAATGCGAATTTTCAATGTATTATGTGAAATTGCTATATAACTTTGATGGCCGATATTACAGAATTGATTCATCGTAATCTGCTGAAATTTGGCACCGACGTATCTCTACTGGAACTATTCAAGATAACATATTATGAAAAAAAAAACAGGTCCGGACTTGGGAAAATTTCATTTTTCATTGTTATGTCGAAAAAGTTCACTTTGTGACCACTTTTCTCGAAAAATTCCATCAGATTCAGGAAGATCAGACAAAAGGCTATAAGAAGTGCTTTTCAATTTATACGGCACACTTGGACTGGTTCAATTAAAAAAATATGGAACAAAATCGTTCGAATGAATTTCAAATTTCGATCTGGCTGATAACTAACTGTCAACTTTCAAGTGGTATCATGTGAATTAATTTTTTCTACATTTTTGTTGAAAAGTAATTGACAGGAGAATAGACGAGAAGAAGAAACACGATATTTTTTTTCCGAAATTCCAGATAGATATCATTATTCCTGACTTCGTTTCATGGGTTTCAATTGAAGTAATGATAAGATATCTAGTAGGCCCTGTTTTTCATTTGTGTGACGAGACGTGACGTTTATTGGTAATCCGAACTGAAGGGTGGGTACTAGGCTATAGTACAAGGTAGGTACCAACTGATGAAATTACGACATGAGCTCCATTTTTTGCTTTTGACACACTTCTGCAAGTGATATGAGGATGCATTTGCTATTTATTCAAAATTCCTAATGTTCATCCTCGTGAAGGTTTTACTGCAACGTATTCTTGGGTCTGGAAATATTGTATGGTATTAAACATAGCATAGCATCGTCTTGTTCAGCATTTGAAATATAAAGTGTCACCTACAGTGCAAGAATATTTCGATCATCAGTGTTTACCTATCAACAAACGCCACGTTACATAAAATGAAAACAGGGCCTACTTTATAACAAATTTATAAAAAAGAGTCACTCTCTTCTGTCAATTTCTATCCAATAAGAATGTACACAAAAATCAATTTACACGAATCCAGTTGAAAGTTGAGAGTTATCAGCAAGGTCGAAATTGAAAATTCATTTGAACGTTTTTGTTCCATATTTCCTCATTGAATTAGTCAACGTGTGCCATGCGAGTCAAAGACCAGTTCTTATGAAATTTTGTCTGATCTTTCTGAATCTATTGCAATTTTTCGAGAAAAGTGATCACAAAGTGAACTTTCATGACATAACAATAAGAAATTAATTTTCTCCAAGTCCGGATCTGTATTTTTCATGCATGATACACCATATCAGATAGTTTCAATGAAGGAACGTCGCTGCCAAATTTCAGCCAATTACGATGATTCATATCTGAAATATCGGCAATCAAAGTTATATGTCAATTCCACTTAATACCCTGTATTTTCGTTATAGATGGCCAAAAAGATTTTTTATATATATACATCAACTCGTCTTGTTTTCCCCTATTCACCATTTGGCTATGTGAGTCTTCTCATGAAACACCCTGTATATATAATATCCATTTTTTGTGTTCACAAATATATCTGAGAATGTTCCTTTCGATGCTAAACTTCTATTTCTTCAAGCAAGAATTCTTCTTAAGTGCATGTATTTTCATTTGATTTGTCAAAATTCATCAGTCGTGAGGAGATTAGCTTTATTTGGGAGTTGTATGCGTCGTCAAATTTGATTAATAGGTTTTTAACATTTTCAACAAGAGTAGGACTGATACAAGAATATGAGTATAAAAATGATTACAACGATATTTTTTATAAACTTCTTATATACCGTTTGTGAAGTTCATTATGTTTGTTATTTAATTTATCTTCCTTTCAAGACACTCATATTTGAGATAATAAGAACCGAATAGAAAAAATGTATAAATGAATAATTGAAAAATTTGCATCAATTGGGGAGTTCTTCAATTCCTTATATTGAGGCCGTTGAAAAACGTTGACACACATTCCACAGCCCTTCCTGTCATTGATATCAGTCAACATCATCACCTGAGAGAATTCATTAACTTCAACACATGTGACAAAGATCAAAGACCGGATCAGTCTTTGTGAATTCACCCTACATGTGAAAATGCAAATGAGATCGACACCCTCCTATTATGTTCCTAACATTCTAACCCCTGTATGTTTTTCATAGTTGTTCTGGCTGAGGCTTCTAACATCAAAATATTAATCCGATGCGAGATTTATATACCAAGTGCTCGAGATTTTATGAGGTCGATAACTCTTTTTCATATCCTCATAATCCTATGAAATGCAATTGAGAAAGTGTAGATTTTATGGTTTGTCTTGAACATAGAATTTAGTGCCAATAAAATATAATTCATTGAAGATTCACGAATATATATCCATAGAAGTGTGGGTTTGAACAATAAATATATTTCCAATAGGTACGTGATATTGTGTCCAAGTCTAGAGAAAATATCATTAAGGTATATCAGCTGAAATTCCATCAATAAGAAATCATAAAATCCATCATAGAACACAGGATTGCTGATGAATTAGTAATGAACCTCACCAATAATATTTCTTTTTGAATTATAGATAATGAATATGAATCTATATTCATCATATTATGCAATATTCACCTCCAATAATAAAAAAGGTACTCATTTCGTTACGGCATCCGTTATCAAGATACAAGGTGTTGAAAAAATGATTTTTTTACACATTTTTCAAGATTATGTCGAAACTACTGGCAACATTGTTGTGAAATTTTGTATGGATGTTTCTTAGAATCTGACACATCGCATGCATTTGTTTTTATATCTGACTCCCATAGAGGGCGCTAGTTACAAGGTTCGTACCGAGTAGTTTTGAACATAACTTTTTTGAGGTTATATTTTTCAATCCAAATATGATATGAACTTGAACATCATTCAATTTCACACCAAAAAGTTACTTCTGGTGAAACTGAATACTATGTACCGTTTTCGGAATATTTCGACTGACTGAGCAAACCCAACTCATTTTGCAGTGTTCTACCTACCCTAGCAAGGGGGTTAGGTTTTTTTGAAACACCCTGTATATTTCGCGAATTGTCTATATTACATACTCACCTTTGCTTCTAGTGTTTCTAATTGAGCCATCCTTGGCTGTATTATCGTAGGTTGCAAATTCGTCTGAAAAAAAGACAAATTCGATATGTTTCATTTGAAAATAGGCGAATTCAAAATGTCGTATGGAAATATCTTGGTCAAAGTGAAATTATCCAGAATTGATGCCACTGGTTTGTTAGTTTCCCAATATTGTAAAATGATTAAGTTTCTAAAGGTACAATGAACTCTTAGGAGATTCATGAAAGAAGTAGCTCCAGGAATGGGTACAGTGTTAGTCAGAATGAATGATAAACGTGTTATGTGACAAAACATAATAGTTTTGTATTGTTTTGTATAAGGACCACATTTTAACTTTCCTTGTTTGCCTTCCGCATATATATCACTTATCTCGACTTTTGCCACAGCTGCTGGTATTCTGCATTGAATCACGAATGCAAGCTTTGTTTCTTTCAAACTCGCACAATTCTCTTTGTGAATTGCATGTAATTATTCAACTCGACTCAAACTCTTTTTCTACTTCATCTTCTGTAGAGCATGTTGATTTATGGTCTAGTTGATTCTTCTACCTTACTTTTCACTGGATATCCTGGATTTTTTGTAGGAATTAGTAAGAGGAATGGTATGTAACAAATGTTTTACAAAGTTGAACTTAATTTTGGTGATGCGATTTGGGTGACCCTCAGTAGTAATGTTCATAGGGCATTGATAATAGACGAGATAATTTGTCATCAAATTATGAGGCATTTTGTCAATGAAAATAATTTGAAGTCATCAAAGTGATTGATAATTGCACTGAATGCAGTTATCAAAATTTATTTTCAGAGATAACTTATTCATACCTATGGCATGAGAATGAATTTAAGGGGCCAAGGTTGAAATCATCAGCATAACTAAGAAATAAAAATGTTACAAATGTTGATTATATTTTTCAACTGAATACTGTTTACCTAATTAGGTATCTCAATTCAAATACTTCATTCACATTATTGAATCAAAATAACAAAAGAATAATAAATACATATTTCTTTGATGCTGAATAAACCTATTCATTATGAATTTACAAATGCGAATTATCTACAAGAGTGTTTTCTACAATTCTCATCATTATATTCTATACTGTCTGTAGGTTAATCGAGGAGGTGGTATGTTCATTTTACTTGATTTTTTGGGATTTTCTCTCCTCGTTTCTATAAAATAAAAATATTCGTATTTTTTCAATATATTTGTAGTGGGACAAATCAGATGATTTGCCCCAGAATGTCACTGCGTTTGACAAATCTTTCTATCAGGGAGTCTAAAAGAAAAATCCAGGAGCTTGTCAGTGACCATTTGATTGAAACAATTTTTGAAGGAAAGAAGTATAGATATAAAATATCGAATTTTCACTTATCTGTAGACGTTTCGGGACCGAATCTGCTCCCGTTCTCAACATGTAAATGCAAAATATTTGTTAAACGCATATGATTTGCCCCACTACGAATATATTGAAATAATACGAATATTTTTATTTCATAGAAACTAGGAGAGAAAATCCCAAAAAATCAAGTAAAATAAATGAATATTCAATTGTTGATACTGATGTATACCTATACGCCATAGAAAGATGCATCCAGTTCAACCTAGACAGGAAATACCGGAAGAAAGACATCGCGATTTTCCGATTTTATTCGATAGCCAAGCAGCCATCAAAGCGTTGAGCTCTCCTTACATCAACTCGAAGATGGTATGGGAATGCCTAAGCAAATTGAATGAGCAAGGCAGCGACAATAAAGTGATCCTCCTCTGGGTGCCAGGGCATATTGGAGTAGAGGGGAATGAACAAGCAGACACTCTGGCACGACAAGGGGCTTCAACGCCACTGATCGGACCAGAGCCATTCTGCGGCCTTGGACATTCCTATTTCCAAGGAGAACTTGAGAAGGCGGAAGGAGCCTGGAGAGCCAGACAATGGAGAAGACTTCCAGGACTACGGCAGGCTAAAGATCTCCTTGGAAATTTCAACCGAGAAAGATCTAAGACACTGACAAACCTCATCAGCAAAGGAAGTCTCAAAGCAATAATGGGATTTCTAACGGGGCATTGCAGACTCAAAGAACACCTAAGCTAAGGAAGCTAGGCTTACAGGAGGAAGGCACCTGCAGATTCTGTGAGGAAGAACCAGAAACACCCCATCACATACTGATGGAGTGTGACGCTGTACATCACAAAAGATTGAACATACTGGGAACACACCAGCTGACTGTGGAAGAAATACCACAGCTGGACCCCCTCGAAATCCTCAAATTCCTGAAGGAATTGAATCTCGAGGGGCTGCTTTAAACAAGAAATCCTTCATATAGCAGAATCAGATGGGGCACAATAGATCTAATTAGGTCGCAGCGCATCTGTCACCATCCAACCTACCAATACCAATAACAATACCTATATGTGAAATGTGAAAGAGTGTGAAAAGGAAAATTTGTACTATACTGATGATTTCTTGGACATGCAATGTCTAGTAGGCTATTCCAGATTGTATCACCCTATATGAATGCCAATGACATACCTGAGTCAATAATAGTTTCATCATGCCTACTGGTAAACAAGTCCAGATATAATAATTATCATTAATATCATTATCAAATCATCAACAACAGGAAGGTTCATATTGATTTCATATTGTGGTTATACGTATGTTATTATTGTTCCCAGCGAATACAATTGCATAGCTGCCATTGTTGCTATCGACATGGAAATTGCATGATTAAATGTAGGATTTTTATATCCTCATTTGGAATTTATTATCAGCAGATACCAATTTCGACTCTGAAATTTTAACATATATCTAAATACTTTTGTTTTGTTTTTTTCATTTGAATATTTGAAATTGTAATATAACGAATGATCGAAACCATCCCAAAAATGTCATATGATGAAAAAAGGCTGAAAAATTTCGTTATCTGAATTTTTCATCAGTGGCAAGCAATAGGAATTCCAACAGACCTTGATGCATTATCTAATAATGAATTCTGATATATTCAAATATAACTCATATTTACATATTGGGTCAGAGCTTTATAAAGCAGGCGCCGAGAAGTGAGATTGGGTTCATTTGTCTCTTGTTTTATTTATGTTGTTCGCCATTGTAATCTATGTTCACCTTACTGGGACTAATAGGCGCTATTTAAAATGCCGTTTATCAGATTATTAGCTAATACCGCTAAATCATTTTTTCCTTAGTTATTAAGCTCAGTTCATTTTTGTCCACAAGAAAACTCGTTTGTTACAAAATGGCCTTGTCATAACTATATTTTCATTCAGAAGTAGGTTCTCGTAAACCTATGATCACTTGGTATTGAACTACGAGTAGTGAGTATAATCACACATACATACAGAGAAGTGCACAAAAAACGACCAGGACTGTAACTTTCGAATTATTCGAGATAGGGTTTTGACAATTGATAGACAGCTAGTATAGTGAATTGCTCATTAATTGACATAACAATTTTTGTTCTATCACTTTCGATTTTACTGGAAACGACCCCAACTTCTGATTTTCAAATGGGACACCCTGTATTGTATTCCATAATCGGTTAGGGATTGTCATAACGAATTCATCGATACCGGGTTTGATACGGTTATTCCTAACGATTACGCAGATATTCGCGTTCTAAGTTAACATATGCTCAATGAGTGTGACAGAGAGAAGAGAAAATGAAGCAAATAAAGTGTCATATATGCACGACAAAATATAATCTTGAAATGAGTAAATCTATATCTTGTTTCAGAGCGAATTTGGAGTTTGAATTGAGTAAATATGTCTTGAATGAACTCGATCTTATTCAATCAAGCACATCCATGAATTGTTTATGAAGAGATATTGAATTGGATCAAGCAATCATTTTGTTTGATTCAATATAACAAGATATTGATTCAATCAATTATTTAGTTGACTCAATAAAATTTTCGGATGATTTAAAGAAATATTTGGTTGACTCAATGACATATTTGGTTGATTCAATGAAATATTTTGTTGATTCAAGAGAAACTGTATTTCCATTCGACAAATTGTTTTGTTGAACCAAATTCAGTATTAATTCGGGAATTTTCTGAAATTTCACATCAATAGAATAAACTAAACTAGGAAACTAGTCGACTTTTAGCATAGATCTCCAGTCTTAACGTCTCTTCAGCTAATGCAAAACTGTTTCGAATTGCTAATCATCAAGATCGATTTATCCAGCTGATAATTCAAACACGAAGAATCAGGCTTCACGTATATTATGAATTCGAGGCAGGCATAGACGAGGCGAAATGATCTCCATCTACAGGCGAAAATTTAACTTGGTCTAAAATGAACAAAATATTTCATTGATATTACATATTTCGTTGCTCTATTCAAGCAAATGACCCGTTCGAAATGAGTTCTTTGCTACATCGAAATAAGAAAACTTGTATTTTGTTCCAAAGATATATTCCCATCAAAATGATCATTGTTTAATCAAATCAACAAAATGTTTATAGTTGAATCAACATGGACATTATTTTGGATCAACATAATTTGTTTTTGATGAAACCATATATTTTGTTGATGGAATTGATATTATACTGTTGATTCAATTAGACTACATTCTTGATTTGAACAAGCTGCTTCCATGAAATAATCATATGTATCTGGTTGATTCAACAAAAAATTGATTAGTCTAACATGATCATCAAATTTAGAATTCAGAATTAGTGATCTTCACTACTGGAACTCTTTTATTGAATCGAAGAATCTCATCAGGAAGTTTTTAGTTTATTACAGATCCATATATTCGTTTGTTTTGAAGTTGAATTCCATCTTCTCAATGACAAACAGATATCCTATAAGGCAGTATTAGCAAACTGAATGAGAAAAAATCTAGGAGTCGCATTGAATCAATTATCATACCCAGGAAAAGAAATAATGATGTAGATAATTGAATCAGTTTCAAACAATCGAAGAATGCAGGAATCTGCAATCATCTTGAATCGAGGATAGTGGATAAACGTTTCTTCGTTACTTTTGGACATCATCCTCATTCCTCAATATTGACACAGTCTTATTACCACTCGCGTCTGGTAACGGCTTTATAGACACTATACACTCCAGTTTTTTCACTTCCTCGAAGTGAATTTGTGTCTTTCCGATCTCCACTGCGTTTTCCCAGTATGGTGTTTACTATTTATAGTAACATAAATATATCCTGCGTACGACGTACGCTACATGCTGTGCAATCTCAACAAATTGGTTCGTTCAATTCAGTTCAGAAAAAACACTGTTATTCATTTGGTACACTGTGAATATTTTCGACTTCGCGTTGGAGATATCGAAAACAGTGACAAAAAATTTGTTCAGTACTAACTACTGAGAAGTAATAATAATAATGATAATAATATTTTTTATTTTCCTTTCAGACAAAGTTACAAAATTTGTATAGGAATCGTCAAAAAAACAAGAAGAGAAAAGGAGATCTTAGATTAAAAAAATCCTGAAAAAAAGAGGACGCAAACTACCTACTTATACACAAAAATTCTTCAAAACTATAATTATATACACTTATCAACAAGATGATTCTTGAGTGTTCGTTTAATCATTGAAACAGTTTTGGATTCTTTAATAAAATCATGTAGCAAATTATAAAATCGTGGAGCCATCTGGTCAGGAGATTCGAGAGCTAATTGTGTTTTTCCAAGTGGTACAAAAACATTGTTTTTTTGTCTTGTATCAATATTATGTTTACATTTATTCAGTACAAACAATTTATTTCTATTCTCGAACACAAATAAGCACAAGTCAAAAATTAAAAGACTAGGAACAGTTAGAATTTAAAAATTTCTGAAAGCTGGTCTGCATGAATCAAAGAGACCTATGCCACTAATAATTCGTATGAGGTTTTTTTGTGCTATGAAGACATCAGAGTAGTTAGAGGAGAAACCCCAGTAGCACACTCCATATCTCAGTCTGGAATCCACCTGAGCATAGTACAGCTTCAGCAGCTGATCATCATTTAAAACCTGCCTTATATTCCTGAACTGATATGAAGTAGAGTTAATTTTTTGATCAGAAAATCACAGTGATTCTGCCAATTTAAATGTTCATCAATGTGAAGACCTAAAAATTTTAAGCTCTCACACTCTGTTGTTACAGTGTCAGAATTATCATTAGCTCTAAAGCTAATGATATCTTACCTCCGTTGCCGATGATGGAACCTCATTGAATCTGTTTTTTTTCGCGTTCAAAAACAAATTGTTTGCAGAAAACCATTTGTTGATATTTTCAAAAACTTTGTCACATTTTTCTTTCAAAACTGAATCTGATCTGTCAGAAATTATAATTGACGTGTCGTCTGCATACATTGTTATGAATGTTCCAGGAATTGAATATTCCAAATCATTTATATACAAAACAAACAATATGGGTCCCAATATCGAATTGCTAGTCTCCTTCACAATATAGAAACTTATTCACTATTCGAAATAAAATTCAAAATTGACAGTGTCATCAAATTAACATACTCGATTTTGTGATAATAACCAGGTTCATGCAGTTCCCTCAGCCTTAATGATTAGTTGTTCATAAAAGATTTATTCATTATATATTTTTACATCGCTGCGATATCTTTGTAATGTAACTGTGTTTGCTGGGAAAGATGGAAAAACTCCAAGTAATACTAATAGTTCATGAAATTAACTGAAATGGTAAATATCGAGAGATAACAATCATTTGCCTGGCTATGTGTCACGCAAAATATTGAATTCCATCCTCTCGAAATCAATGCAACGATTCGTATGTACTAATACAGATGCAACTGTTTCTTTCCTGAATGCCGAGTTGTTCCTGAATTGTTCAGGAACGCTTGACTACCTACAGACCGGTTTCGAGCTTTTAGCTCTCATCAGTGGAAGGGTGTCCCCAGATAGCATTCATGACCGCTATCTGGTGCGAACCTAACTCAACGTAAATACCTATCAGCAATTGATACCCACGAGGCATTCGAACGCTGCGAAATGGACACAATGTCGTCTAGGGTAGAAGGAAAGAAACACTCCAAGATTTCAATATTTTGCGTGGCATATAGCCTAGAAAGTAGTTTTATTGCTCTCGTTATTCACCGGTTTTGAACATTTTATGAACTTTGGAGGTGGATTTTGAGTTTTTCCTCCTTAGTAAAATATTCGTTGGATAGAAATATTCTTCACAGTGTATGACTGGCATTTTTTAAATTGCTCCTCATGTTTCTTGATGGCTAATCTCGAACTGTTGTATTTTGGGTGGGTCTGAACAATAATGAAGATGAAATTAAACTGGTTTATATAATGTATGGTAATGGTCTATTCTGGTATTTCACTTCAGACTCAACCAATCGTCAGCCTCAGATTATAATAGGTAATTAGAGTGTACCAAAGAAGCCTTGCTCTATGCTTCAGGGCACTGAATACCTTTACATGAAGATTTTGACACTACTCATATCTTGAAAAGTGATGGAGCTAATACTAAACTGTGATTGTAATTCGTGGACCAAAACCAATCTTTAATATATCGAGCAACTACCAAAAAAAAATGGTAGCCTTAATTGATTACTTCTTTCACACTCGGCTGGACCTATGAAATGTCACATGATATGCGATATCAGCGGCTATTCTGTTCGCCAGCATAAGAGTGCTATGGTTGTCAAACTTTGACATACCTATCAGTCACTCAAAAATTGAAATGTCTTGTTTTGGATCAACTTCCACTACGGAAATTCGTAATTATGTAAGCGAATAGATATCAGACAATAACAAGGAGAGTAAAGAGTCTGTCTGGAACAATTCATGTTTTTTTGTCAGCAGAAAAACTATGAATTTTGTGCGACTACCCCATCTTTCGTTATTGCTCAAATCCTAAAAGATTGGGTGAGGAGAATGGTGAGGAATATTAGGAATACATAGGATATGATGAGATATGATGAGAATACCCCAGAGGCCTTCAGAAGAATTTTCATTCAAATAGTATCTGCAGAATTGTAACTTGCATAAAACGTTGAGACTCATATAAACCAGTGTTTTTACACTGTTCATGATATAATCTTCCTGAATATCACTCGACCATGACAAATGGAGACTATTATTTTCTCTAATTCATCTCGAGTAACTTGTATTTTGGGACAATTCAATTCGATGAATAATGTTCATATGGTCTCATCAAATTGTCAAAATACAAGGTACTCTCGATAGAATTATGAAGAAAATAATAGTCGGCTATTTGTCATGGCCTCGGGATCTTACCCACGACAGTTGCTTGGTTCAAACAATGAACAATAGGGTACAAATATATGGTTCAAATAGTCAACCCTTGACATCATAGTGGATGATATTTCAATTCGACTTATTTTTGGATACATTCATACTCACTAATGATACTGATTTGTGGTGGTCCAAACAAGTCGGGGGTATTTTGGAATCCCCTGTGCTAGTTTCGTGCTTACTCTGTTTTCCTCCAACACTGCAAATCGATTTTGGGCTGTGTTCTTGAGATTTCATCGCCTCATCATCCTACTCTTCATTATCATCATCGATCTGGAAGCAATGTGGAAAAGTATTGAAATCATGCTCACATTGCAGTAAGAGTTGTAAAGAGTCAGTTTTCTTCCAGGATAAATCAAAGTGGAGCTCATTCTCTATAAGATGTTCTTCGGAAGACATGAAAGGTAATTTATATGCACATTTATTTCTTGTACTCTCTTAGCTACTGTTCATAAATGGTCAATCCACATCTTGAATTATGTCAATTGCAGTTAACCGTAGCTATAAGATATAAAGGCGATTTGTCTTGTTTTCTTGTTTCAGAAAGGATACTGATGGTAGCCAACTACCATCAGAGATATTGAATCCGAGATAAATAAAGTATAATGATACACATCAAGTTGTTAATTGTACATTTTCATAAAATGCAAGTATTCTGAATTATCCCCAAACTCATATTTTTTGGATGCGTCAATATTTCAATTATTGTGCTTTGGGCGGTCTATCTCTCGGTCCAAATCAATTTGTGTTACAAAGGCAGAGAGTATGCTATGGATAATTGAGGGTATATGAAGGGAAATCAATTTGACACTCCTGTCATCATGAATTAATGAATTTGTATATTGTGTAACTGCATTCGAAAGAATTGATCGAGTACGTTTGAAATATGAGAAAATATATGGGATCATTGGTTTATAAAAGGAAATTGTTTTTTGCTTTTTTATCATAATGGATGAACGGATTTTATGGGTAAATCGACACCAAAGAAGCTTGCTGAAACCAATATGAAAAAAGGGGGAATGTCACAAAATAGTATATTGTGCAACAAGTGGGGAAAGTTCAACTTTTCTCACGAGAGTGAAAGTCTGAGCCTGAAGGGCGAATGATGCAAACAGACGAGTGAGAAAAGTAATTTTCCCCACATGTTGCACACTATACTTTTTCTACAACTGCATTTATTCAGAGAATTCCAAGTAATGTAACTTATTGCTATTCATTTTATAATGTGGCACTATGCCACATTGAATATTGTGACTAAAGAGTAGACGCTTTTCCTAGTTCCTCAAAGTATTTCAAAAAAGTACACTTTATTTCTGTATTTTTTTAAATTTCAAACATTCCTCGTATATGCCAATTCATGCTTTTTTCTTGAAATTTCCGAAAACTAATCCAACTTTCGCAGCTTTTTCCATTATCTCTCTCTCTGGCGGTGTATATTTATCAAAATCGTCACATCTCGGCAGCCAAATGAGTTTTGGTCAATTTTTGTTGTTTCTTCATGGATATGTATGTGGTGTTGGCAAAGTGCCGTGAGAAAAAATATCTCTCACAGTATGAGCAATACATGGTTTTGAGACTGAATAAGCTATGAGAAATGCGCTACTTTTCATAGCAGTAGTAGAAAAAGTAAGTTTCGAGGAAAACGCATTTCAAAGTTTAAAACTTCCTTACTTTTTGGAAGTTGAAGGAAACTGAAATCAAACCACCTGGATTCATTCGATCGAGTATAATGAGCAATAAAGTTGAACAACTAGAAATAAAAATCATATTTGAATGGAAAAATCATCGAAAACAAAAAATAAGTCCAAAGATTCAAGGGGAAAATGGAGAATGTCCAAATAATTAAATTCAGTTAATAGATAAAATAATCGACTGATCTCCACACATGAACTCATAATAATAATATAGAGAGTATCTTCATGTTTTTTAAGAGATATGTATGTTAGAATTAAAGAAATTGTCACTGATGAAAACTAGTTAGCAATAAAATACCCCGTATATAACCTTCCATTCGACAATAGATAATCCCTCTAAGGCCCTACATGACAGATAATCGCCATATATTGCAAATTGCACAGTTGCATCCCATAATTTCATGAATGCGGTATTAGAGATGTTGAATCGGAATAACAAATCGCTATGAAATTCCTCGTAAATCCTCTTTACTCGAACACAGGTGTTTTGTCCACTGGATTATTGTTATTCTGAGGTTGTACGCCTTTTTGCTAGACTGGAAGAGAACCAGCAAGCGGCAGCTTTTCGAAGAAGGGCCTTAGGCGACATCAAGAGACGACTCCGATTCTAACTTATGCGTTTAGTCCGTGGGTCTTCCAAGAAGATGATGTTACGTGAAGACCACAAGGGAAAAAGGGGGAATGTCACAATATAGTGGACATTGATTTGATACCACCATCTGATAGCCTAACCACTATATTTTAGTATGAACAGAAGTCCATAGCAATATCGCAGCATTGTCAGCTAATATGCTCGTTCGAAAATACGTTCACATGGAAAAAATGCGGAATGTCCACTTCAAAACTTTGAAGAAAGGGGAACATCCAAGCTTATAGTGCTAAACTAACTTTTCGTGACATCCCTCCTTTTTTCCCTGTGGTCTTCACATGCAATTATCAGTATGCTTTATCACTTATAGTCAAAATACTGAAGGTGCTCAATAATTCACAATTAATAAGAAAAACAATAGGTTCATCAATATAAGTTCAGATTGATTCTATGTTCTTCCATGAATATCTGCACATTTTTTGTCCTCAATCCTTTTTGGGTTTTCAAGTAATGACTTGAACCGTCACACAACTCAAGTGTTACAATAAATGGGTAAAAACCCAGGCATATACCTACAACAAAGATTAATCTTGTGTCCTTGCATGAACATCTACATGACATTTCCTCCTCAATTGCTATCAATGCAGATTTATCTTTCACACAAACACACCTACACACTTTTTTCACCAATATCTCTCAGACTTTTCACTTGACTTAGATCCTTTGCGCACCAATCAAGTATCACAATGAAATGAATAGATAGGTAGCCATTTTTCTGTTGTGTTTTATGATTGGAGACATTGAGAACATTGCACGGAAAATTAGGATTGTTTTTCATATAAAATTCTCATATCACGGTGTTTGTTGCCAAACTCCTTCGAAACGGCTTGACCCACTCGTATTGAAATACTTGAGAATATTTGGTAGGTCTGAGAATCGGTTGCAAGCTATTTTTTCAATTGAAAATTCAAGATGACAGATCCAATATGGCGGTCGAGTTTTGTAATTATGATCCGATTCTATTCAAAATTGATATCTGAAGGCTTTCGGGGTCGTAGATTATGATTCATCTGTCGAAATTTGGAAATTAAAGATGGCGGATCCAATATGGGGGACGATTCCATTCAAAATTGGTATCTGTGGGTATTCGGCGTGGAAGATTTTGATTCTTCAATCAAGATTGGCAAACGATGAGCATTGTAATAAATAGTATCAAAACTTGAGAAACACGCTTTTATAGATAATCAAACTATATGGATGTAGATAATAAATAGTAGTTCGAAAAATCAGAGAGATAGATTGCCGAATTGAAAAGAAGTAGAATAATAGAAGTGTGTTGATGAATATGTAACTGAAAAAATATTTTCCAGGAATAATTTATATAGCAAAACAACGTTTGCCGCATCAGCTAGTCACTAATATGAACATAAAGCTTCCGAAAACTAGTAGCACTAAGTGTGGCGGTAGGAAGGTGAGGGTTCGATATTTGAAAATCGTGGAGATGGCTTGGAGTTTTGATCCCTGGTCACAGTTTTGTCGAGCAGCTCGTACATTTGTGAGTCTTGCCCACGGACTGATGTTCCAAAGAAGGGCTCGGAGCGTCAGTCTTCTTGGGACACAATGTGCAATCATCTCCGAGAATGGTCTCCCACTGCTTCACGAACGGTCTGAACTATGAACTGTGTGGTTCGTACAACGGAGAACGCCCGGCAGAAGTAAGTAGAAGAAGAACCGAGGAAAGAACAGTGGGTGAGCGACCTATTCGATGCTTTCGTAATTATCTCAGGGTCGAAAAATTCTTGGGGCACCAACAGCTATCATTAACGTTCTCTGGAAAATAGTTGATTAGGACGAGATTGGAAGAATGGGGAACAGTTAAAGTTAGAATTAGTCGTTTGATTGAAAGGAAAATTTGCTACAGGCATGCCTAATTAAACTGGTTTGAATGGGAAGCTGAATTGGAAACACATATTCGTGGATTTGCAAGGCAAAAATGCTATCTCATGGAACCATATTTTGTTGAATATATACCTAATACAGTGAACGTTTGTATGCAAGAGCAATTCGTAGATTTGCAATGCAAAAATGCTATCTCATGGAACCATATTTTGTTGAATAGATACCTAATACAGTGAACGTTCGTATGCAAGAGTAATTCGTGGCTTTGCAAGGCAAAAATGCTGTCTCATGGAACCATATTTTGTTGAATAGATACCTAATACAGTGAACGTGTGTATGCAAGAGCAATTTGTGGATTTGCAAGGCAAAAATGCTATCTCATGGAACCATATTCTGTTGAATAGATAACTAATACAGTGAACGTTTGTATGCAAGAGCAATTCGTGGATTTGCAAGGCAAAAATGCTATCTCATGGAACCATATTTTGTTGAATAGAAAAGTTGGCGATCTGGCTCTATTTTAACGATATTTTCATGGACGATGCTCTCCTGAAATATCAACAATTGTTCCTTCCTTGGCAGTCACCGCGAGATTAACCCGTCGAATTGAGGCTTCGCACCCCTTCGTGGTCACTTTGGGGACCTGCAGAACATCTCTCTCCAAAGACTCGTTCATCCAACGAACAGCGGGGCTCTGGAACACATTGCCAAGGGGAGTGTTTCCCGAGGCATATAACCTCCAGAAATTTGAGAAAAAAATTCCTACCTCATTTCCCTTGGTTCTCACGATGTTCTGTGAACAATACAGGACATCCCTCCTCGTAGGAACCAGAACATAAAAAAAATGCGAGAGCAATTGTTTTGATGACTTTTTTTGCGTGTTCATGGGGTATAAGATGTTTCATTTCTTAGTGGGTCTAAGAAGTATGTACCTGCCGATAGTGGAATGAGATAATGCCATAGCCGATCCATTTTTAAATTATAGTATGCATGGACGAAGAATCAGAATATATACATAAATTATCATCCTCACTCATATCTAATTATACAATTTTGACTGTCAGTCATATCAAAAATGAGAATAATCTGTG